TATCAAATATATTAGTTTGAAATTTTAAGATTATATATATATATATATATATATATATATATATACACACACACACACACACACACATATACATACATACACACACACCTACATATATGGGTGTTCTGACTCTGTGTGCCAATGCGTGCAATGCCCACAGAGGCCAGAAGATGGCACCAGATCTCACATATTTGGAGTTACAGATGGTTGTGTGGGTGCTGGGACTCAAACCCAGGTCCTCTGGAAGAGCAGTCAATGCCCTTAACTACTGAGTCATCTCAGTAGTTACATCAAAACTCTGTCATCTCCTTTGCTGAGTCCCCAAGTCATTTTTCAAAAATAAAAATATGATCATTTTCATTATCATAAACTGTGTGTATCTGGATGGCTAATTGAATACACCTGGATCATTTATCATGTTAATTCTATTTGTAAAGCTTTTTTTATTTTTTCATTTGGAGATGACAGGGACAAATCAAATATTTGGCAAAGTAATTATTAATCCCACACTAGCAATAAACGTACAGCCTCTTAGCAGATATTGTAACTCAAAATTTGAATATGCAAGCTCAGCTACACGATAATCTTAGTATTAATTACCCTCCCATCCCATAGAAGAAATTAATTATGTCATAACAAATTGCAGCAAAAAAAAAAAGGGATTTCTGCTTTGGGACCAGAGTATCTTTGTCATTCACCTGTCATTCCTTATCTACATTTTGCTTGATTGTGATTGAGATCAGAACACCTGGTTGGTCACTGCTTTTACTCTGGCTCTTATTTTATACGGGGAAGAGGGGCTGGATTTGAACCCAGGGCTTTGTCCACTCTATCACTGAGCTACATCTCCAACTCATTTCTTCTGCTCACAGTTTCTCTGGGTCATTCTGTCTCAACCACATAAACTGAAAACAGTGTATCTCCTGCTGTAGATATTTCTATGCCCAATTCCCTCTTGTGCAAGTGGTGAGACAGTTTTAAAATACAGAAGCCCTAGGTTCTCTTCCATTCTTTTGGAGGGACTCAAGGAGTGACTTCCGGAAGCAAAGGAGATGACAGAGTCTTGATGTAAACCTCCTCACAGGCAGGAAGAGATCCCGGGTCCCTGCAGAGTTCACTGAAAGCCGGACTTCCTTATTGAAGCCATTTCCCTGATGGTCATTTCCTCTTTTCCACTTTCAAATGCTGCTCTCACTGTAATAAAAGCTAAAATCATCTCCCGGGAAAGATAAGGTGTCTCCCTAACAATGCAGGGGTTCACTAACACTGGAGTGAACCGGCCTCCTTGTGTGTGGGGGTTGTGTGTATTTGTTCCTCGCTTGCATAAATACCTCCTGAATATTCCATGTGTAGATGGAAACTTGTGAGACACGTGCCACATGCTAGAAATTGAAATGTTTCCTTGCCACGGGAACAGTCAAAATGAATAATTAATTTCTTTCCACCAAACGAGGCATGGTGAACTGTGTGGAAAACAAAACAATTAGAATCCAATGCTGTAAGGGTCATTACGGAAGGATGCACAAGGTGGTTTGTGAGGGAAGCTCAAGCTCTGGAGCAGTCTTGAAGGCTTTGGGAGGTTTTCCCAGAAATAACTTCAGAAATGAGTGTCAAATAAAGAGGAAATGGAAAAGGAAAACAAAGTGTATTTCCAATGCAAAGAACAGTGCTTGCTAAAATCGCAGTATCTTTCCACCATAAAAGGCACACTTCCAGGAATGTTTGCTTGCAAGAGACAAGATAGCCAGAAAAAGTGAAGGAGGTTTGGCCAGTGCTCCTACTGGACCTGAAATCATTTTTGACACTTTCACTGGTTCCTTTCCCAGCCTGTATATGTCATTGAAGGATCCTGCTCCTATCTTCTACACATCTCTTTCAAAGACATTTAGGTGTTGCCAGTTGGGACTCTGGTGAGTGATGCTTCTGAGAATGTCCTAGTGACAGGGGCATGGGTGTCCAGGAACACAATTCTGCAGACTCAAGAAAGGGTCTGATGATTCATACAGTTTGCCAAGCTTCGAGATCAGTAGATGGTGAGGCACTGTTTTCCAAAGCAGGTGTTCTCATGAGAATTCCCAGAAGTGTAGTAGAGCTTTCATGACTTCATAGCTTCCCCAAATCATTTATCATTGCTTTTAAAATTATAGGGAGGGCTGGAGAAAAGGCTTGGGTGTTAAGAGCTCTTGCTACTCTTCCAGAGGCCCTAGGCTCTTCTTCCAACACCTACATATGGCTAACAACCATCTGTAACTCCAGTTCCAGGGATCTGATGCCCTCCTTCCTTTCTGCAGGTCCCTTTATCACTTTCATGCGTTTTACTTTTGTCTCATGGCCACTAATTTTAACCCATCGACCTTGTAACCATACATTTGAAACTGTCTGTTGGAGCCTGGTGGACTCAGATTGAGTACATAACTGGAAACAATGACCCTCCCTGCCCCAGAATCTATCCATAACCAACAGTTCAGCGGGATGAGGAAGGGCCCCCAGGAGCCCCACTCCATGATAGACTGTTAGCAGGCCCAGACTTGTACAGGCACAGGGCAGGCAGCCATGGCGGCTGTGAGATCATCTTTGCATTGGCTGAGTTATGCCCTGGAGACAGCATCTGAAGCCCTTCACACTGTCTTCTAGGTCTTCCACTATCTATTTACATCATTGCTTTTTTTCCCAATGGTAGAATATATTTTACATAAACCATTTGTTCATGTTTTGGGCTTATCCCTCAGTATGTGGCTGTTGGTGATGTAAAAGATGGTTGCGTTGGTCATGTTACTTTCAAATTGTTTGCTATTTTATACAGCGGGCTGTAGGGAAAACCTTGCATTTCTCATTATTAGATTATTCTAGCACAGTCATCATCCACAAAGAGCAACAATTGTAACCCCCTTCTGGGATTTGTTACACTGTGTCACTCTCTTGCTTGTCTCCATTGGCTTAGTGCTCCTGTATAGTATTGAACCAGTAGCAGGGAGCATCGCTGCCTTCAGAAACCTATCATGAAGCAAAAGCCATGATTACACAGATTTAAGGCAAGTCAGTTGCCTTTATTTTCAGTTTGCACAGTTATTTGAATGCAGGGTCCAGGCATTTCACCCCTGGAACCCCTTTTGCAAGTGAAGTCTCAGACAAGTGACAAATGAGGAGACTGTATGCCTGAGTTATAACAAGAGGCCCGACCTCCCTGGAGAGGTCCAGCCACATTTCCAGACTTTGTTTTCTCACACATTCCACACACTGTGTTCCAAAGCCCTGCTGCTGTCAGGAAGGAACTTCCCACAAGTCCCCGTTCCCACCCCCAGCATGAATGTTAGTGTCTCAGAAAGCCAACGGATGAACTTGTCCTCTCTGGGGGAGAGTCTTTCTAACTGTTGATGGTAGAATACTATCTTTCTAATCAATGTGAAATGTAAAAAGCTAAAATATTAATGATTTTTGCAAATTCTGGTAAATTCTTTGATTTGTTGTTCAAAACATTTCAAAAACCTAGAAGCTCTTGCCTCATGCCTATCAAGCAACTTCCAGGATGCTGCCCAGTCCTGCAATTTTTTTTCATTAAAAACAACAGCAACAAAAGAGCAAGTGATTAAAGGGACGAGGGCATCTCTGGAAGAGGAAAAAGAGCTGGGCAGTGAGGGACCACAAAGCCAGGGAAGGAAGTGTCCTGCCTAATAAAGGTGGTGGAACTTGTCACACATTTCAGGGGACCAGATGGGTAGCAGAAAAGGACATTAGGCACACATCTTTAATTGCAGCCCTTGGGAGGCAGAGGCTGGAGGATCTCTGTGAGTTTAAAGTCAGCCTGGTCTACAGGACCGGTTCAGGCTAACCAGGGCTACATAGTGAGACTTTATCTTAAAAAAGGAGAAAGGAGGAGGAGAGAGAAAAAGAGAGGGACAGCAGGCAGACGAACATTCTTGGTCTTGATGAAGACTCTGCTAGAGCAACAGGGCCACCAGTAGAAGCAGTGGGTTGAAGGACAGAAGGGTGGGAGGCAATGGAGACATTGGCTTTTGTGATTCCTCTGAGAAATGTCATTGTGAAGGGGAGAAGACTGTCTTGGTCCCAAAACAGACAGGGTATAATAGAATTTGGACTGGTTTGTCTGTTTACTTGTTTTGAAGGTGAGATCTGATGATTTTTCTGGCTTGTTTATGTGTGTGTGTGTGTGTGTGTGTGTGTGTGTGTGTGTGTGTTGTAATGCTGGAGACTGAACCTGGAACTCACTAGACAAGCACTCTATCTCTAAGCTATGTCCCGCCTCTGAGAACTGACTGAATAAAACTAATGTGCAGATGTTTGAGGGGATTCCATGACCAGAAAGAGATATTGAAAATACAGGAAAGAAATGCTATAGCTAATGTAGAGATGTTTGAGATGCTGCAACAGCATACAGACTTGGGAGTGTAGATGGACTTTTCTGTCCAGCCAGCCACTTCACAAATAGCCACACAGAGACTTAATATTAATTATAAATGCTTGGCCAATAGCTTAGGCTTGTTTTTAGCTAGCTTTGCTAAATTAGCCATTCCTATTAATCTACATGCTGCCTTGAGGCTCATTTACCTCATGTATGTACTTCTCACCCTGCTGGCTCTGCATCTCATGGTGTCTCCTCCAACTCTGCCCTTCTTCTCCCCAGAATTCTCTCTGCCCTGAAAATCCCACCTACTGACTGGTCTTTCATCTTTTTTATTAAACCAATCTTGGTGACATATATTCACTCAGTGTAAAGGAATATTCCACATAGGGGACTTTACAGTGAACAAGTCTGGAGGCCCTCATCCTTCAAGTATCATCAAGCATCATCCTTGGCCCTGGTCCATGACCATATGACCTTCAAATGGCTCAGCACAGACAGTCTACATGAGGGCTACCCTCCCTACATTTGTGCAAGGCACATTCTGATTAGGCTCCTGGCAGGAGCCCTGGGTGCAGGTAACTCTGTGGACTGACAGTAGTGGGGTGGGGATGAATCCTGCTCAGAGGCAGTATAGCCGATGACAGTTCCAGGAGACAGGGAAATCCACTCCTCAGAATTTGAGGAGCAAGAGATAAGACAGATGTCCCAGTGTTACCCAGGTCTGTCACCTTCTCACCCTGCCCTTCTCCTCTGCCCTTCACCCACCCACTGGGCATTCCCTGAGTTCATCGTTCTCAGGCAGCTTTCAGAAAGAAAGTAGACCCTTCAATCACACTAAACAAGATGGGTATTTTAAACACTAGAACACAGCTTGGCAGGCACGGTGATGCAGGCTCTTAATCTCAGCACCCATGAGGCTGCTGTAGGAGAATTGTGAAATTGTGGTCAGCCTGGCCTCTAAACAATGCTTTTAGAGATGTCCCAACTCTTCCCAGGAATAGGGCGGCTTGCAGAAAGTGTACCAATCCAGTGGGAGCTGCCCAGATGCTGCTGTATCCCACTTAGATGGAGCGCCCAGAGGGGGCAGCAGTGCCTGTCTTGTTGACTGGCAACCAGTTAGCATCTCCTGGATGTTTCAATAGTTAACTCTTAAATGCATGGTAGAGGTTTCCTCTGTGACATCTGCTGCAGCTCCATGACCTCCCTTGGTAACAGTGTCACCCTCACAGAGAGGAGCTTACCTAAGCCTTCTCAGCCAGTCACCTCTGTGAAACACCCTTTCTGGTACTAGTGTGGAGGGAGTGTTACTCTCAAAGATGGGAGGAGAAAGACCCCTGACCCAAATCATCGTGACCAAATTAATTAAAACAAGCAATTAATTAAACCAAGCCTTTTTATATCCCTACAAGGGCTGCTTCCCCCTGAGGCAGGGTCAAAGACGTCAGCATTGGATGTGTGGAATAAAGGCTCAGGAGTCATCGGTTTCCAAATGGAGGAGTTGGTGGGGTTACAGGAGCAGAACATAAGCATAACAAGTTAGTTATAACCACCTACTGAAACTTAAAGATGATTGCAAGGTGGTCAGAACAAGGTAGTCATAGCAACGGAATGTCAAGGTAGTCATAACACCCTTTTGAAACAAAGGTAGTCTATCAAGATGGTCATTATAACTTTTTGAAACAAAGACCCGACTGCCGTTCCTGCAACAGGCAGTACAGAACCTTAACCTTAGTTAAGGTTACAGGTGGGGCATAGCCCAGTCCTTGAGAAACAGGTTTAATCATAAACAGGGATGAACCTAGTTTGTCTTTACTATAATAATCTTTCAAGCTCAAGATGGAGGCAGGCTGGTTCTTCAAGAGAACCTCAATCAGTTCTTCCCCCAGTTTTTGAGGGCTTCCCTCAGTTCCATTTAGTACTACTGTTGTCAGATAATCAGGAGAGGGACCTGGCCCTCTCTAATGATTCTTACAGGGAAACCTAAACAGACCTTCTAGAACATCGCTTCCTAGTAGCCTAGGAAAAGTGTTGACTGGAAACCAAAAGCATCCTTGGGCACCAGTCCAGCTGGCTCCAGAAGGCAGCTGCGGAACCATTGTATAATGCCAGTGCATAGCCATGTCTGGGGTACTGACTAGAGATCACAGGGACTGTGACAGCAGTTTCCTTTCATAAGCCCAAATCTCCCCTCTGCTGTGAGTTTCGCCAAAGGGGCCCATGGAAACCTCTGGAAGATACCAGTTTTGTTTGATGTTGGCAGCCTCCACTTTTATAATCCTTGAATTTCAATAAAACTGTCTCGCTCTACTTCCACAGCTGACAGGAGCCACAGACTGTGGAATATGCCTCCCACAGATGGCCAGTGGGTCCCCTTCAGGATGTGCCAAACACAGCAGGGACTCTTAATTATTATTTAAATTTCATGATTATAGGACAGAATGATAAGTAGGGTACATAGAACACTGAACTTTATTCCATCAGAATTTAAATGGGAGCCCACAACTTCAGGAAGGTTAATTTTGAAAGGGACTCTTTCCTTTTTAAACACCAATGGGAATTTATTTTTTAAAAAGTTAATTGAGCACCAAGTAATACCAGACATGAAGGAGACAGAGGACAGGGAGGGAGGAGTTGAGTTTAGTCGTTATTTTCTTTCCATATCCCTTTTATGCTTGAAATGTCCCAGGAAAAAGGCACCGCAGAATGAGAATTGGGAACTCTTGACAGATTTAATTAACAGTTGGAGTCATTTGTGATCAGCCTGTCTCCTCCACTTCTTTCACCCCTCCCTCCCACATCCCCATCTCCACCCCCAATTGACATCCTCAGGTCACACTTGAGATTAGCCTCCTCGATTGGGAAAGTTCCAGAAGACACATCTGTGAGAGCCTCCAAGAGTGCTCCGTGACATCACTGTCCCCGGGGAAGACCAGCTGCCCTGTTTTTGTGCACTTGCTCCATCTCCAGGGTCATCTCAACTAACAAGCTTAAAGTTCACGTAATCCAACTGTCCTCTCCAATGACAGCCTTGGAAGCTTAGTGTGTGCACTGAGTCATACAGGCTGGGTGCCCACAACCAAACGCCTGCCTGTTAATAGATACAGCTTCGTGAACAAGGAGGACCAGCAGGGAAGTCTCAAAAAAACATTTGTGGGATGCAATTTCTGTGCAAGGCAGCATCCCCTGGTGTTTCCCCAGACCCAGATAAGAACATCTTTCCATAATGATCATAACACCAGTGGCTGCATTGCCTTTAGCATTCAATGAGATAATGAGGAAATATCCAGCACACAGTAGACAATGCTCATGATGGCAAGTCCAGCTATAACCTATTAAAACCCACTGTTCTCTTCACTCCCCCAAATATCTTCCTGGTCACAATGGTGACATCATGGTTGGGACCACTTGACCAACACCTCTCCCCATTCCTTTAACAGGTCATAATAAATGGTAGCCGTTTCAGAGTCTGCTTGCTCTTTATGCTTGTGACATTTCAGCTTTGGACTTTTTATTTGTGCACTTATTTGCAATGTCTAGTGGGGATGCTGTTGCTCTGTTATACTGTGAACCGTTTAAACTCTTTATATGTGTGTACGTATGTGTTTCAGTAGTAGATTTCTAAACAACTTTTTCAAAAGGCCTTCAGGTTACTCCTACCTCTACTCACTCCTCTACCCCGCCCTCCTACCCCTCACCCCACTTAAACCTTCCCCCATTATCCCACCTTTACCCTTTATACCATTTCATTCTCTCTCCCCTCCCTTGAAACCTCCCAAGGGTACACGGGCAGCATGAATTGGACTTAATGGGTTTAAACAAAAAAGAAGACACAGAGTTGGGTGGGAAGGGAGGGGGAATCTGGGAGGAGTTGGGGAGGAGAGAAATGCAATCAAAACACATGGTACAAAATTCTGGAAATGTGAAGTTTCAGCTTGACCTCAAGACTTCCATAATTTTATTAGCTGATGTATAAAAAGCCTGCCTATCTTTCTGGAAGGCGTGTTCTTAAACTTGAATTCGTGTTTATTAGATCTAAACGTCTGGGGTTGCTTCGTCTACCCTGTTCCCTGTGCCTTGTAAATGGCCACTGGGCTTCCTGTTTGTACCCTTCTGTTCAACTAGACTTGGCTTCAATGCTTGTTCATGTGTTTCGCTCTCTGCCCAAGACAGTTATTTTTAATTTGCCTTTATAAATGACTTCTACTCTTTGAAAGGCAGATTCCAGAATGGATGGACTCTCTCCCAGCATTGTGGTTCTCTGTAGCCTTGGGAACCAGATGGTGGAACCAGACCTTAGCCAAGTCACCCAGGTGACAACCCCAGAGAAGGTGCTTAGTTTACCCTCTGCTAAGACACGCAGAAAGATACAACACCTGCCACACTTTAGTGCAGTGATTCTCAACCTGTGGGTCATGACCCCTTGGGGGTTAAAGACCCTTTCACAACTCGGGGTGGGGTTGTCTAAGGCCATCGGAAAACACAGGTATTTACATTATGACTCATAACAGAAGCAAAATTACAATTATGAAGTAGCAACAAAAATAATGTTATGGTTGGGCATCACCACAGCATGAGAATCTGTGTTAAGGGGTCACAGCATCAGGAAAGTTGAGAAGCACTGCTCTAGGAGAAGTGAAGAGAAAATGAGATAATTACCCAGCAGAGTGCTGGCACTCAGTAACTCCTTAACGGAAGAGGTTACTGTCAGGGTTGTCACGCCTTATTTTAACGAAGGTCAGGTATTCTCTCAAGCTCCCATTTAAACAGTCCTTCTGCATATGTATTAGGTCACCTTAAATCTTTCTTAGGAAAAAAAATTAATAGCTGCATAAATCAATTTCTTTGCTCCTATTTAAGCACAGTTTTACCCTCTGCCTCAAGCAATAGATACCTCCCCAACTCCATGCAATAGTGGAACAATACGTTTGGCTTTCTTTGCATTACCTCCCTGAATGAAAATTCAAAATGGGTCTTCATCTCACCCAGCGTATGGCTAGTGTGAGGTTAGATTGTGGTTACTGGCAGGGTTTTTCCATATTGGTGCTCTGAGAATGATAGCGGACGAACCAGCCTGATGTAGTTCTTATCACACTAAACGAGACTGTGCCGGCAAGGCCTAGCTGTATTCACATTTGGTTTCTCTTACATAGATTTTTTGTATCTGCCCTGTTTCATCTCTCATGTAGACTTTGTACTGGCTGATGGCAGTATGGTGGCTCCTCTGTGCCAAAAAGGGTATTTTCCTTGTGGGAATCTCACCAAGTGCTTGCCCCGAGCCTTCCACTGTGATGGCGTGGATGACTGTGAGAATGGTGCCGATGAGGACAACTGTGGTGAGTCTTGCCCCCTGCTGTGCTCCACACACCTACTTCACCACATGTGTCCCCCCAAACTGTGGGTCATCCCATGAGCGAGGGTAATGACCTAGAAGGAGTGGTCTAATAACCACTGCCATTGCGTTTAGGCTAATGACCTGAATTTTAGGATATAGAGCCTGCTAAAGTCAAAAAGATGGCCCCATAAAAATTGAAATGGCATTCTAAATTCTACTCTGCTTCTCATAACTCAATTTTAAGAGGCTTCCTTGTGGCCAATAGCTTTGTTCAGCTTTAAGAATATATATATATATATATATATATATATATATATATATATATTTGACATCATGGAATAGGAAAGCAACAAGACTCTGCGTAGATAACTGAATGCACGTGGAGGGAAAAGAATCCCCAATTGCAAACAAATAAAAAGACAGGAAAACATCTTGGAAATCCACTTGAAGGACAGAATCAAGAAAAACATTTTTTAATTAAATTGACTTGAAATGGGTACAAAATGGAAGGAGGGAGGGAGGGAGGGAGATATTCTGCAGGCATAGAATTCCAGGCATAGGAAATAAAGGGCCCTGGGGCTAACTGAAATAAGGTGAAAGAGGGTCAGTCTTGCAAAAGCAATGTAGCTTGAGCAAAAACTACAAGAATACAAAATCTGAAGAGGTTTCATAGTTCATTACTAAGGGTCTCCCAGGCCAAGTTGAGGGCCATGTGCTAAGACCATATATCTTGCCTGATCTAATCTGACTATCTTCCTGTGAGGAGAACAGATTTCAGAGAGGTTGATATGTCAACTTAGTCACAGTCAACGCTGGAACTCAGACCTTCCTAGCATGCCACACAAGGCCAGCTCCCTTCAGCACTGGCCAGCCAGCACCTGAGTGGGGCAGCCATGTCCTGGCCGGCCAAGCAGCTGTCTTGCCCCTAGTATTCATGGACAGGAAACGACCCTAACACCTTTCCACAGAGCAGTCCTGCCTGCTCCTTCCCTCACACTCAGTTCAGAGGTGAGAATGCTTGCCTAGTGTTCAGGAGGAGGTGCTAGGTCCAATCCAGAACAACTAAGACAATAAATAGATAGATAAATAAATAAATAAATAAACAAATACTCAGTTCAGTTGTCCCTCCCCCTCGAAGAGGGCTACACAGGCATCCAAGGGCAAACCTCTCGCCTTGTAGAGTCCTGCCTGTGCCTTACTTTTCTCTTGGCAAATGTGAGCACCCTGAGAAAAGGCCAGTCTTTGCTACCACCAGGATAGGATAGGAGTGTACACACTAGGCACTCAGTCTGTGCTCAGTTTAGAGGCAGTTCTCTGATTGTCAGTGAGCAAGCTACTCCAAGAGAGTTCTTTTTTGCTACATGGGAATCAAGGATCACTCCTGTTTCTCTACCCGACAAGGACATTTTTAACCCAAACCGAACAATGCACACAGAATAGCTTATAATATCATGATAGCGCCATTCAGGACATGAAAAGGGAGCAAGGATAAATTATAGATATCAGGAATCAGAGGAACCTGCAACTGACTGCGTGAATTTACTTTTTCATTTGTGTGGAGTTTGGTGCCCTCTATTACAATGCAAATCTTACCATTCTTATAGCAACACTCAATTAAGGATGCTTCAAAAGAGGCCCAATTTTGTAAATATGTATATATACATTACTCACATGTGATTTTTACAATATAAAAGAATTATCAGGTAAGAATATCACAATAGTAAATGACATTAAGGCATGAGAAACCAAAGCACTGCCATTTCCCTCAATAGGATTTGACATTGTTTATTAAAAGGTATTTTGGTTTTCGCTTTCTTTAAAAATAAAATCTGGCAAGGAGTGACAGAGCCCATGCTGAGAGTGTGTGAGACCCTGGGCTCAGTGTCCAGGGACAGAGCAAAGTAAAGAAGGGCCGATTTTATCAGAACTCAGTACCCACTGCACAAGGCCTTCCCATCTTCACCCAACAAGTGAAATGCAGAGTGCAGTATTCTTGTGAAACTCCCAATATCCCAGTCAAAGATTCAAAATGTCAGCATTAGAAATAGCTACTATTCGCTAAGTCACTTAGGATCACGTAACATAATATTTGCATTACGTGTGTTGTGAAGCATACATCTGCAATCCTTGTGGGTGAAAGCCGGAAATGCCCACATGTGTCTGTTTAACTCTCTCCTGCTATCTTCGTATTTAAAAAAGAAAACAGTCACTCTGTTGCTTGACCAGGTTTTTTGGGGTTTTTTTTCTGGTTTGATTTCGTGAAATTTTTATACTTTTGTCTTGTGGTATGCTGTCTGATTTCTAGACTAACTGATGCGTATCAATCACCACCCCCACAGGTGACACTAGTGGATGGGCGACCATATTTGGCACAGTCCATGGAAATGTCAATAAAGTGACATTAACACAGGAGTGCTGTAAGTGGTGTCGGTTCAAAGACGGTATCGGCTTTGCAAAAAAAACAAAACAAAAACAAAAACGTGATTGTGGTGCGTGGATTTATCTGGGAACAGCAGTCCCCTCTTATCTAAGGTTTTGCTGTCAATAGTTTCAACGAACTGACGTCAACTGCGGTCCCAAAACAATAAATGAACATTTTCAGGAGCTGGGACTCCAGCTCACAATGATGATGATGATGATGATGATAACGATGATGCCTTGAGACAGACAGACCGCATTCGCATAACATTGGTCATGGTGTATTGTTATGATTTCTCTATTGCTATAAGTTACTCTTAATCTCACTGGCCTGATTTACAAATGGAACTTTTTCAGAGGCATGTAGGCATAGGGAAATCAGTAAATAACAGGATTTTGTATTATCTCTGGTTTCAAGCATCCACTGGGCGTCTTGGAATGTGTCCCCTGTGGATAAGGGGGGACTGCTGTAGTGGCTCAATTACCTTCAGAGTAATTTCGTTTCAATGTATTTCACTGGTTACCATTCTCCTGTCTGCTTTTGGGTCTGAGAAAAAATGGGGAATAGATCCATGTCCATGCATGCTCATTTCTGTGTCACTGGATCAATCATGGGAATGCATAGATAATCAATAATGATGACAAATAACAAAGTTCTATTTTCTTTGATTTCATTTCAACAAAGGGCTGAAATACAGTACCAATTAAGGTGTGTTCCCAACTCACAAATAGCGCTTGTGTAGCTGGAAAGACATTCTCACTAAGACGAGGTGATTCCAGTCTGCCCAGGGAGGCGTGGGAGACCACTGTAAGAAATGAGGGCTCTGTCAGGAATGGGAATATTCTCCCAAGCAATGCATTGGTGGTGGGTGCGGGGGCACTGTGAAGTCCCTAGATGGAGGCAGAGAGATAACAGGTGAACACAGCTATTAAGCAGTACAGGTAGCTGTCCAATGCAGGTTGCACAGTGCCTTTGTGCAAGTGTGCTAAGATCCTACAAGCATGAGTTGGGAGGGCAGAACTGAACTCAGGAGGCTGCAGCATGCCCTTAGAGGGTTTGGGGCACACACTGTGTATATATGTGTATATATGTTAGTACACATAAATTTCATTTATGTGTGTAATGTGCATATATTAAATACTGTACTAACATGGGGCATGGTTGTGCACACCTTTAATCCCAGCACTCTGGGAGGCAGGAGAAGGCAATTTTTGCGAGTTCCAGGCTAACCAGGACTACACAGTAGGACCCTGTCTCAAAAACAAGCAAACAAAAAACAACAAAACTCTATACTACAGTGTAGTCAATGCCCTCATATAGGGGTTACATAACCGTGCATTCAACCAAGGACAAATCAGAAATAGTCTGATAAAAACTATATCTGTGCTGAACTTGTACAAAAAATTTCATTAGTATTAATGTATACTCTATATTGTTATGTACTGTTACTACAATCATATAACAATATAAAATACATATGGTGTAACAACTATATCACCAGCATTTACATTATAATCAATATCCTGAAGCCTCTAGAGATACACTAAAGAATAAGGAGTTTGTATGCAAATTCTATGCAAATACTGCATCACTTTTAGAAGGGACTTGAGCGTCTGTGAATTTAGGTATCCATGAGGGCCCTGAACACAGTCCCCATCACATACCTGAGAAAGACTGCAGTGTGAACTTCATAATACTAGTTCATAACTCATATACTTATACATGAATGCCTAATCTGTAAAAATGAAATTAAGGCAGATATGATGGTATGCACTTGTAAGCCCAGCAATCAAGAATCTGAGGCTGGAGGATCCTGAGTTCAAAACCAACCTGGACTGTGTAGTGAGTCCACGTATCCAAAGATAAAAGAAAAATTGGGGCTGAGGAGATGGCTTACTGGTTAAGAGCATGAGCTGTTTTTGCAGAGAACTTGGGTTTAGTTCCTAGCACCCACATGGTGGCTCACAACCATCTGTAGCTAAGGCCTCTTCAGGCCTTTGTAGCACATCACACATATGGGGCACATAGATACACACACACACACACACACACACACACACACACACACACCCTGAAAAACCCTTGTTTACACAAAGGCCCCTGTAACATGTTTGAGTAAGGTGGCTGACCCTTCTCCCTTCATTTTCTTTGAGCCAATTCTTTAAAAACTAGCCAATCATGAGAGACCATGAGGTCAGGACCCCAGAAAATGGGGAAAGCCACAGTCACTTGTGTGGGAATAAAAGCTAGTCACTTCCTGCCTCATGTGCTTGCTTTTCCAAATGCATCTGCTTATTAAGACAAAAATTTTGCCTTGTTGAGACACTTTTTTTAAAGTTTTCACTGTTTGACAAAACAAAGCAACACAGAAAAATCTAATTTAGAAATGACAAGATTAGTAAGAAATATAACTGAAAATTCTAACACTCTCCTAATATGTCTCATTCAGGAGCTCACTTCATACACACTGGGAAATCAAATCACCAAAGTTAGGGCTTTTCTGTGTGTTTGACTGGGTTAGGTCTCTGTTTTTGTGTCTTAGTTTTTTAGGAGTAAAGAGAGAAAGCTCAGGATAGATGAGATGTTTAAAAAGGGCCCCTTCAGATGCAGACCACAGCTGAGAAAAGAAAGCCTTAGATGGGGCACCATGTCTGGCCTTGGCTGTCACAATTCTTGGATAGAGAGGATGGGTAGTTACTGGCAGTTAGGTCATGAAGCCCGGACAGGGACACTGCAGAGCCTTGTCAGGTACAGGATAGATCCACAACCAAGAGGGATCTGGGCCAAAACCATCACTGTGCCAAGTGAGCCCAAGAAATGTCTTGGGATGAGTGAGGCGGAAGGAGATGAGAAGGACCTTTCCAGGACCATCCTCAGAAGAGAGTGGTGGCAGGACAGGGAGGGTGGAAAAAGACCCCCATTTCTACCTTCGGAAGGATTTATTTATTTTTATTTTTATGTTTGGATTTTGCCTGCATGCATGTTTTTGCACTGCAAGCATGCTTGCTGCCAGAGGAGGCCAGAAGAGGACCTAGAAATGGAGTTATAAATGGTTGTGAGTCACCATGTGGGTGCTGGGAACTGAGCCCAGGACCTCTGCAGGAACAGTCAGTCTCTTGACTACTGAGCCATTGCTGCTTGAACCACTCAACCCATGGTGCCTCTGCATACCCAGCTTGACCATATGAAATTCTTTTATTGCCGAGTACTTTTTGATCACAACCTTCATTCTAATAATACAGCCATAATATTCCTGATGCCAATAAACATTAAACAAAACAAATTAGCGTTATCTTTATTGGGTTGAACTAATATTATCCAAAATGTTATGCACTGAAATCATCTCTTGCATGAACTGGGGATCCAGGAATAGTTGTGGTGGCTTTGCTGCCAAAATGCAGCTAAATTCACTTTAAACTCGACACAAAAAAAAGGATGGGCAATTAGAAAGATTTTATACTCACAGTTCCATGCATAATAGTCACAGGCTGGGTCCACACCATGGCACACACATTGAATACCATCACTCAGCAGATCAAGGCAGAAGGTAATGTACTACATAGCAAGACCCTATGTCAAAACAGTTCACTAATTAATCATAATAATAATAATAGAAATAGAAATTAACTTTCACTTTCTTAACTGCACCAAATCAAATATCCATGGGGTCAGTGGAAAAATTAAAGATTCTATTAAAATCCTCTCCATCTTTCTCTGCTCCTCTATCCCATATCCCACGTGACTTACAACTAAAGCCAAATCAGTAAGCATTGATTTACCAACTACTTCATACTACTGAATTGAGTTGGTCCACCCATCACCATGGAGACTTACTCAAACAAATGGTGCTTTTCACTAAACAAAACTTTATCTTATTTCAGTGCATGTTGTGATTTTATTTGTTTACACATGTGGTTTCTTCCTGCTCTTTGAGATGTTAAATGTCTTTGAGATGACTTCGGGAAGAAGCTAGAGATGAGAGGAATACCCCATGGGTCTATACTTGATTTGGAGAGAATTCTTATTTGCTTTTAAGAAGGGATCAGGGGGTCCATTAATAGATATAAATCGTTATGGAGTTGATTAAAAGAGAAAATTGTCAGTTGTTCTCGAAAATAAATGTGTTGGATTTTTGTTTGTTTGTTTGTTTTCTGGTACAATTTTTTGTCTTTTCTTTCTAGTTCTCAGCCAGTATCCACAGCACTGTTATTGTATTGAAAATGAACTGGAATGCATAAAAGCTGACTTAAAAGCTGTGCCAAAGGTTTCTAGCAATGTGACATTACTGTGAGTATGCTCCACATATTTTTACCTAAACTCACACAAAAAAACACAGAAAACTCTGTAGTGCCGTAATGATACATTATAAGTAATAAAATAAGCAAAAAATCAAAAGTACTTTTTAAAAGATTTATTTGTACTTTATGTACATGAGTGTTGTCTTCACGGATATATGTGCACCACATGTGTACAGTACCCACAATGGTCAGAAGAGGGCGTCAGAGACCCTGAAACTAGAGTTACAGATGGTTGTGAGCTACTTTGTGGATACTGGGAATCAAACTCAGGTCCTCTACAAGAGCAGCCAGTGCTCTTCAGCACTGAACCATCTCTCCAGCCCCTGAAACTACTTCTAAAAACAGTCACCAATGAGGCTGACATGCTTCATCTGCAGGAAAATACATTTTAAATATGATCTTCTAGATGAGCCTGGTTAATGTTCACCTCATGATGTCGGTCTGTGGCCTGGAGTGCTTTTCCACTATGCTCTAACTTGTGTACTGCTATTTCTGTGGCCCTGCTGCTGAAGAGAAAGGAACAGATTTAAGCCATCTTGTTTTTAAATCTGACAATCCCTCTAAGACTGCAAGGATACAAAGATCCAAAAAATTAGCTGTTCTAGATCATGCCAACTCTCTTGAACTTTGCATAAAGAAATTTAAGGCTAGGAATCTGTAGTCATGTCCTCATCTGGCATGTCTGAGATGGTTGGGATCTTCTGTTGTCTTGGCTTTTACTTGTTTTTATTTATCCAGAGATTAAGGGAGACAGTGATATCATCATACCCTATCTAGTCTATTATGCCAACTGGCCAAGGAGAGAGGATGAAGACCAAGACAAGCCTGGGCTAGCGTGGGCTACATAGTGGGCCACATGAAAACTTATCCCAAAGTAACAAAAAACTGTCTTGATTTTTATTTCAGATCTCTTAAGAAAAACAAAATTCACAGACTTCCAGTCAAAGTTTTCAGCAAATACACAGAACTTGAAAAGATGTAAGTAACTATAAATAGTAGATTTATGGGGGAATGCTGGTGATGTCTTAAGGCACTTTTGATCTGAGAACAAAGTTGAATAGTTTCTATATATGTTGCTAAATCTGGTCCCAAACCCAAGATTAGAAAGCAAAGCACTGAAAAGGAGGTGTTCTCATTTCATAGTTTAGAATATGGTTTCACTGAACCATTCTCAGAGGTTTGACTTGGACTTGAGGTAAATTATCCCAATACAGAGTTTCAAGACTTTCCTTAATATTATTTAAGAATGACATTGCAGGATCAGAGGGGCTGGGTGTGATCTTTTTTTTTTTTAATTTGGAAAGTGAAAGCATAGGCAAGAATAGTCATTGCAGGTAAAACATGTAAACAGGTTACAGCCTGAATCCCAGGATAAGAGGAACAAAAACTGATGATGATGATGATGATGACGACGACGATGATGATGATGATGATGATGATGATGTTAGTATATCTGAAGAGAGAATACATCAATAACTAGTGTGTAAATAAAATATAAATAGTATTCAGTGAGAAAGAGACTATATGCTTCTAGCATCCCAGAGAAAGAATAACTGAGACCTGGAATTGGTGGTTATGAGAGATGGTCTCCGTGGGAGCCCAGTGGCAAGCCCACAACCTCCACCCTAGATCCCTGAACTATATCATTTGATAATGACTCAAATGCCTTTGCTTCATTCCTTCCTCACAAAGTATTCCCATAATCTTCACTTTACATGTTTTTGGGGGACTGGGATTGTGAGACAGGGTTTCTCTGTGTAAGAGATCTAGCTGTCCTGGAACTTGCCCTGTAGTTCAAGCTGGCCTTGAACTCACAGAGATCTGCCTGCCTCTGCCCTCTGCCACCCGAGTGCTGGGATTAAGGGCCTGCATCACCACCACCACCTGGCATCACTTTTACTTTTTAAAAAGATCTTTTAAATTTTTTATTTTGTGTGTATGAGACTTTTGCCTGCCTGCGTCTATGTGCACCAACTGCATACAGTGCCCGCAGAGGCCAGAAGAGGGTATCAGCTCTCTTGTAACTTGAGTTACAGATGGTTGTGAGCCACCATTAGGTGTTGGGAACTGAACATGAGTCCTCTGAGAGAGCAACTAGAGCTCTTAGCCACTCATTAATCTACTTCATGTCTTCATACTGGATTATTTAAAGAGACGCATTGAGTAGAGAATAAGAATGTTTCTACTAGTCAGCACGATGCCTTCTATTGATATTTGTGGATAGAAAACTCACAGGTTCATATTGTATCAGCCATTTGTAGCCTGGGTGATTGTCTACCAGTCCTTCCAAGCTGAATTCCTCTGGGTCTCTAAAGATTCTACACCTGCCAAGAGGACTAATAATAATCAGTCTAATAACTATCAGCATAGGGGTGTTGCACATGCTGGATCCTTGACAGAAATGGTTTCTTGTTTTATTCTTCAACACCTAGCATAAAAGAGAAGTCTCTGGAAACACTATCAGTGATTCCACCATCATGAAATTAAAGAAGGGCACCCTCAAACAAGAAACGAAATCCCTGGAGGAAGGCCACCTAGTAGAGCTGTGTGTGGCTACACAGTATCATCTTACCTGCTTTGCTTATCATCTACGTAATCCTAGACACTATCGGTACCTTCTGTTTTATTCTAGAGTGTGTGATCACACTGCCATCACCACACTGGCATAGTTACACATTAGCCCTGGGCCCTCTAGAGAGGAAATCAGAAACACAAAACTTCTACATCTCAGCAATTCTTAAAGTCACATGTTCCTTCTGTCAATCAATACTGTGTTTACACTGTGTGCATGATGTAACAGTGGTCACAGAAAGAATGGCAAGATTTTTGTTTTCCAACCTCTGTTTAGTCAACTTTCCATCACTTATGCAAAACACCTGAGATGATCAATTTATAGAGAGGAAAGGTTTCAATATCACAGCTTGGGAGGTTTCAGTGCAGGACAGATGGGCCCTGTTCTGGAATCATGCAGTGAGATGAGGGAAGAACCTCCTTACCAGGAAACAGATGAGAATGAGGAGGAGAAAGAAGCTGGGGCCCCACTCTTCTCTTCAAGGATGTGTCCCCAGTGGCCTGAAGACCTCCCTCTGGTCTGCATCTCTAAGTCTGTGCCCCTCACAACAGCTGCAAGCCTTCAGGGGATATTTAGGATTCAAACTCTAACACATTCTATTATTGGGTATCATAGAAGTTGTTAAGAATTTCTAATTAGACAACCTTAGACACAAGCCAGCTGAAATGTACAAAGGTTAAGGTACTCAGTTAAAACCTGTAATTAGCTATTAGGATAATCACAACCAGAGACCAGGGCTCCTGATGGACATGGTGATTCTTAACCATCACAACAAAAACCCAGAGATGGAGAGAAATTGGTCAGTATGTCCCAGAGTTTCTGCTGAGACATACAGTCTTGCCCCAGGGAGGCAGGGAAATCATTAGTTTGTTTAGACAGGAAACCCAACATTGGGCATCTCTAGCCAAGTCCTTTCTCCTCTACTGTCCACATCCCTACATGAGGTCGCTGCTATCCGATGAAAGGAGGAGTGTGGAAACAATTGCATAATTCAGCTCCCAAATTTCCTCAGGGCCCCAAAGGTAGAGACTAAACCTCCTTGCTGAGACCACTGCTGTGTATTAGCATGCCACCCCTGAGACAGCACGGAACTTCCTGTCTACTGAGTCTCCAGTCTATACTCGTCTAAATCCCCACGGTAGAGCTGCGGTCATTCTGACACGGAGAGAAAAGATTACCACAACAAAATTTCATTTTAATTGCCAGATGCATGAACATTGCTCAACGAATGTAAATTTTCTTTTACTATGGATCAATTTTGTTATCTTACTAATCTCCTGGAGTTCCAGGATTTTCTAAAGTTGAAGAAGAAGAAAAAAAGTAGTTTGAGATGACCTTTCAAAGAAATAAAATACAATTTATGGGGTTGACTCTAACGTTTTATCATCGCTGCCATGGAAACCAACAGCGATCCTCCTCCTCATTGTAACACAAACCTTATGAAAATTAGGTATTTATTCTTAACCTGAGTTCTTGTTGAATGCAATCAATCACTGGCAATGGAACATAATTAAAGGTGCCTGCCTGGCTCTAAAGTACATAATGTCACATTTAAAAATAGCGTGTGAGCACACATGTCATTAAGGTATTTATTTGCTTTAGTTTGGTACATAAGACCCTGGTGTTTCGCTTGAAAGAGCTGGGATTCATGATCCAGGAAGCTGTTCTTAGACAAGCTGTTCAGTGTGAGATACATTTAATGGACTTCTGTCTCAGTTTGGAATAGAAAGAGGCACCATTTGCCAAATTGTCATGTTTCCATCCTCACGTTCTTTAAATCGTTCTTCTGGAAAAAGAAAGTAGACACCAAGGAGAGGGCTTAAGTTTGGCAGTCTACACCTGAGACTTGAGACTCAAGACTCGCAGTCTCTCCGAAGCCACAGCCAACAGTTAAATCTAAGACCAGGGCCTCTCCATTATTAAAGGAACTGGATTCTTAGGTAATGTTGGTAAGAGGGGACCAGTTGCAGGTGGCGGAGGACTCAAACGGGTCCTCGGTTTGAATGTCTCTTTCCTTTGACTTCTAATATGAAAGCACAAAGTCACATTCAGTTTGCAATGGTGTCCATCTCTTCATTAAGGAGGAAGAGTGTGTGCGGCGCCCTAGGGTTAAAAATCATCTCAAATAAAACAGAACTGGCCTAATTGAGTAGTGGATTTTATATTTAAGAGAAACTTCAGTGGGTCTTTACTAACACATTACATGCTTTATTTGTTTTCCTTTGTTTTGCACTCTAATTCACCATATTCTCTTTCATTATGTCCAGACACTCCTCTGATGTTTAAACAGATGCTGATCTATGTCCCACTGTCTTATTCATGGTATAATCATAAGCCCAAAAACGGATTTCTGCTGCATGTGTCTCCACACAGACATAGTTCAAGAAGCAACATTCTGATAGGGAATAATTGCAGCAGGATAAAATTCAAAGTCTAGTTAGACACCAATCACGTGCATGTTCTGTCCATGGTTTTACAGTAAAACACCATGACAATTAGCACAGCCTCATGTGACATTGTAAGCATAGATTTGAATGGAAATGAGGGACATCAAAGCCATAGATGATGTAGGGATTGACAGTGTAGTTCAGTAGTAAAGCACTTTCCTATACAAGGCGCTGGGTTCAAACCTTAGCACAACACACACACACACACACACACACACACACACACACACACACCACTAGACTTTGGTGGTCCAGATCACAGATAGCCAACTCTTATTGCATGCCTTGTCTTACTTTGTAGCCACTGCACCTCCCTGCAACGTATGAATAAAACTTTGTGCTTTGTAATCCGATTCCACCCACTGCCTTTAGGTGGAAAAGGGGAAAAGCTTATAACACAGCGATTGAAGCTTAAAGCCTGTATAACTTGCAAGCCGAAGTCACATGACTTTCCCTCCTTGTTCCTACAGATACCTCCAGCACAATTGTATCACACACATATCCAGGAAAGCGTTTTTTGGATTATACAATCTACAGATACTGTGAGTAACTTCTTCATGAGCATATTGTGGGTATCATTTAAAGAAAAGACTACAAAGGTGGAATCAGCAGTGTGGGGTCATGGAAGAAATCTTAAGGCTACAGGGTATTCGTATTAAGGCTGGGATGTAGCTCAGAGCACTTGCCTAACATGTGAGATGAGAGGCCCTGAGTTTCATCTCCTGTACCACAAAAAGCACCTAAAATTCTTCATTGTACAAGAATAGTTAATTATCCGAAGTTTGTCTCTTTTATATTGTCTTCATGCTGTTCAATCACTTCCATAGCATCTTAGTATTTTATTTTTCCCTACCATTGCTCACTGAATATATACTTCTTAAAATAGTAACGTACTAAGAATATGACCAAAAAAGGACAAAAGTAAGAATTGCCCTACATATTTAGTTGTCTTTCTTTCCACTCCAACCTAATGTAATATCCACCAATATTGTTCTTGGCCACACTATTTGACCTAGTCACGGTGTGACCCAACTTGGGCTTGTAGTTCTGGGTACCTCCTGGTCTCTCCAACCCCTGCTTCTGCTCCTTCAGAACATGCTTGCAGAAGCAGGTACCCAGACTTCAAAACAGAATCAGCCTAATTGTGTGTGGCTTCCTGGGGTATGGAGTTTGCCTAATGAACTCACCCATACTGTTTGCAGATATCTTAGCCATAACTGCATTACAGCTCTCAGGCCTGGAACATTCAAAGACTTGCATCGCCTCACTTGGCTGTAAGTATCTTGGTTCCTCTCTCTCTTACAAATGCTCCTGGTCTTAATGATTTACAACAATGCTTGGATAGTTTCCAGGCTGGGATGTCTCTGGTTTATTACGTTCCTGACTCACATACAATCGCATGCATTTTGCCCAAGCAATTCAGACATGAGTAGGTCAGGGGATGGTTTTATGGAAAAGAAACCTGGCTGTTATTACAGGGGAGCCCCAGCATCCAGTGGCAGTCTTGCCAAGCCAGGCAGCCATCCAATGTCACCAAGAACAGAAAGTCCTCGACCCCAGCACTATTGACATCTTGACTTGTGTAATTCTTTGCTCAAAGCAGAGAAGACAGCGTGCCCCGTGCATTGCAGGAAGTCTCCCCTCATTTGATGCCAGCAATGCAACTTCTCTCTGAGTTGTGACAACAGCAAGGTATCTCCAGACATTGCCAGGTACCCCTTGGGAGGGTAGAATTGCACTCTGTTAGAAACCTCTGAGTTAGGGAGCAAGAGGTTCAGGGCTTGCTCTGATCCCCAGGGCATCCAGAAGAATGTAGGAGAATCTAGTAACACCAGCCATTTCCTCACTTTCCCCCTGAGCCAACAACCCTGTCTCCAAGCATCTCTTACCAGCTGCTTGTGTTTTCCTTGGCACAATAAGCAAAGAGCTGTGGAAGGCTCTGTGTTGTCTTGTTCATTGTCTACAGATTGGCCTGGCTTGTGGAAAGTCCAGGGCTTCAGCTCCATCTAGACCTAGTGTGATCCTGGTCCTGGGCTTAATGCTCCAGTCAACTTCCTTATCATGCCAGGCCTCCATCTTAATGACTCCTTCTTTACAAGGACTGTTATGAGCATTGTCACATAACAAACATGAAGTGCCCAGGGCAGAGCTCCTGTCACATACTAGGTGCTCTTGTAACTCTCTGCTCCTGATCCTACATACCATGGACTTCTGAGAATACAAGGTGACACTGGGTCTCAGAGGCGACTGTTTCCCTTCGCCTTCTAAATATAGTTTCAAACCATAATTTGACTGAATGACGTGTTTTCTCTTCCCCCATCAAGGCTCCTTACAAATGTGTTCATGTCAGTTTGTTCATTTGCATAGACCTTACGAGACTAAAAAAATGTGATTTGGGGGCTTAAAAAAATGGCTCGGCTCAGCAGTTAAGAGCACTGGCTGCTCTTGCAGAGGAGCTAGGATCAGTTTCCAGCACCCACTTGGCAGCTCACAACTGTCTATAGCTCCAGCTCCAGGGGATTTGATACCAACTCCTAGACTCTGTGAGCTCTAGGCACATGAGACAAAAATAAAATTTTAAAATGTGGTTTTCTAAGAATTTACACTATCATTTCTTCTTTTTGAAGGGTACAAGGTAGCATTTGTTAAAGGGCCACATGTGCCTGTTGGTGCTTTATTCTTGTCACACTTATTCCTCAAAAAATATACATAGCCATTGAAAGGAAAGGAGGAAGGAAAGAAAGAAAAAATGAGGAGAGGGAGGGGGCAAAACCAGTGCAAGCTCAAGCCAGACAAAATATCCCAGCTTGGAAAGGGGAGGTATGCATGAAGTCCCACCCCACTGAGGAGCTGTTGGGAATTGATGGCTGCTATGACAGGGGAGACTGGGTTTTCTTTAAGGGTGTGGCTATTGGTGGGTCCGCTGTGCTCCTTTGGATGGTTCCACGCCAGAGAGTATATGGGCAACACATACTGGACTCGAAAGTTTTTTTTTTTTTTCAAAAAAAAAGGACACAAAGTTTAGGTAGCAGGGAATGGGGAGGTGGATCTGGGAGGAGTTGGAGGAGGGGGATGAATATGATCAAGATACATTGTATGAAATTCACAAAGAATTAATACAATTATTTTTAAGTAAAAGAAAAAATCATAGATTTTTAGAAATAGAAAAATTAGCACATGAAAAAGATGACCCAGCTAGCCAGTCACTAAGGACCTGCATCTTCTAATTTTTTCTAACTGATCTGTAAAAGCATTCAAGTTGTTCATAGTAGCAGGTACTGTGTGAAGTTTCAACGTACCGCAAACACTGGGTGATGTCTAAATCTGGTTTAACACATCTGTCTCTTCAATCATGTGTTATTTCTTCTCTGTGATGAAGGCATTGCCTTCCACCTTTTAAAGATGAACAGTTTGTAGCTTTTATGTGGTTTGAGGGGGAGTATTCAAATCCCCCCTTCATTCAGCTAAGCAGCAGGCAGGTTGTTTGTGGAGACCCTTTCAGCCAGTCAGTGCTTGTCAAGTGGGTACAGAGAGAGATCAGTTCCAACTGGGTAAGCCTGGGAGAAGAGCTGCAGGAAGTTAGAGCAAACAGAATCCTCCTCCCCTAGAATGAGAGCAAAGACATTCATCCCTCATGGGAAAGGAGTGAGCCAGGCATCGGTTTCTCGTGGCCCTTTTATATTTTCCACTGGTTTATTTCAGGAATATCTAACATTGGAAACATTTTGATGTGTCTTGTCAGAATTTTAGATGACAATCCAATCACCAGCATCTCACCGAGGTCCTTTACTGGATTAAACTCCTTGTTCTTCTTGTAAGTATCCATCTCTCTTCCGGGACCCCTGCCTACGAAACAGAAACTTTTGAGAAAGTGCTTCAAACCAAAAACATCAAGTCCATCTTTGCTGAACTTCAGGCCATAGTTACTGTTGCTAAGTCAAAGACAACAGCTGGACTGTTGTGATATGTAAGCCTAAGATTCCTGCCCAACGCTATTTATCTCTTCAATCATTTCCTAAAGCACCAAGTCATGTTTCTATTGGCAGTGGCTGAACAAGACTTGTTTTTACTTCCTGACATCCTAGTTAAACTGAATGAAGTATAAAAGAATCTCATAGGAACACAGTTCCAGCTCCATTTTTTTAAAGATTTGTTCATTTTTATTTTTGTGCACTTGAGTATTTTGCCCTCCTGTTTGTCTGTGCACCATGCAGTGCCCAGAAGAAGGCATTAGAACCCTTGGAAACACAGTTACAGGAGGTTGTGAGCTGCCATATTGATGTTAGCAAGGCAACTGAACCAGGGTGCTCTGCAAAAGCAGCCAGTGCTCTTAAAGACTGAGCCATCTCTCCAGCCTCTAACTCCATTTTCACGAGAGAAAATATGCTTTACCCAGAGACAACCAATGAAAATTCAAAATCTGGACCCTACTAACAGAAATATTTTCAGAATTGTGCTTCCACTGTTAATATCCTAGGATGACTGACAGGCAGGGGGTTCCCGTTTTTCCTTTATACTGGGTGATCCAACGTCATGACTGGTCCATTTATCAAAGGGACTGCAGTATCATACATTAATCATGTCTCTTAGCATGTTCACAAACTATTTGCTCTCAATAATTCCCCTTGCTGTCACATCTCAGATTTAATGCGGTTTCCCGTATGGGTTTTTTTTAATGCTGTAAATGATTAATGCATCCCTGAGACAACATTTTGAGAACTAATGGTGCTGGAAATCATTACAAGCTTGCAGTACACAAGGAAAATGATCATGAACTTCACAGTTCTGTCTGCTACTTTAGTTTTACCTCATAAATTTAAACTGAGCAATGACTTGTCTTAGGATGTGCGCTGTACACACGCAGCCATAGACTGAGAGCATCCGCCCCCTAGAACTTGCCATACATATACTTAAGCACTATTTGGAAGGTGTAGTTATATACAAAGACTTTATCATGAGATATATAAATTATAGCAGACAATTTTCAAAATTGTAGAAGAGCAAAACAGCTCTCTTTGATGTGGCATGATCATTTTGCATCTAATTGCCATTTTCTCTGTGAGAAGGTCCATGGTGAGTAACCAACTAGAGGTCCTTCCTGAACGTCTGTGTGCCCAGATGCCTCGCCTCAACTGGATGTGAGTATTCGTTAGGGATTAAGCTTGATGCATGCTAGGATTAAAGAGACTAGCCATAAGTTTAATTCAGAAGTATCTTTAAAATCCATCTAAGATGTCTCTCCCAAACCAAAAGCTAATTGTTTCTTCTTGTTTTTAAAGACCTTTAAAGAGGAGAGTGAAGGCTAGCAGGGGACTGACTGGGTGTGCTCAAAGTACATCAAACACTTGCATAAAAATGACCTTCCACAACCTTGTGAGATAAAATGATGAAATAGCTTTCGAGAATAGCTGGAACTCAGCACTTGGGAGGTTGAGGCAGGAGGATTGCAAATTTAAGCCAAGTCTGAGTTATGCAGTGAGTTCTCTGTCTCCAAAAAAAAGCAAAAAGGGGGGCTGAAGAGATGGCTCAATGGTTAAAAGCACTGGCTACTCTTCCAGAGGTCACTGGTTCAAGTCCCAGCACCCACACAGAAGCTTACACCATCTGTAACTCCAGTTCCAGGGGATCTGATGCCCTCTTCTGTACTCCACAGACACTGGACATATGCTACACAGACATGAATATAGGCAAGACACTCCTTCGTGTTACATAAAAATAAATGAATTTTTAAAAACTAAAATAAACAAGAAAGTCCTCAGAGTGCCCCCAAAGGTGTAAGGTCATGTTCAGCCTTCTCCCACCAACCTGTACTCAACACATAGTCATCCCCTGACACGATATTTTCTACTCTTTCCTTTAACACTGGGCCTCGTCCCATGGGTCTGCTTTACCTTAACCCATCTTCTCTTGCTTGTTCAGACCAAACTGATAAACAGCAATCAACACTGAGAAGGGACCTTTCAAAGCCACCACATGTGTACTATGCAAAAGGCTTCCATTGTCCACCCCTTGCCCATTTGTTCTTTTGAACCCCACTTTCCTCTACATGCCCTTCTGATGTAGTAAACCACAATTACAATTCTAAACCCATCTCTAGCCTCATGAGCTTCTCGAAGCTTGGAAAGTCTTTCTCCCTCATCCTTTCCAATGTCCACTGAAATATCACCTCCGGATGCTGTCTCCATACACTGGTCAACTTGAGTAGATGTCTATGTGTTTCCACCACCCCTCACAGGAATCCACCATGCCCCATAGGGGCTGAGACCATGCCTGCCACATGATAGGTGTCAGTAAAACCTTACATAGAAGCACTAAACCACTCCAACTCTTTCTTGTCTTGTAACTGCTTAGGAGTTTCACGACTTTACCGCCACCCATGATTCCCTGCTGCATACACCTCCCTGATTTCTTCCAGCAACCTAAAGATGTCATAGTCATCAAAAATATACATCACCCCCATAGCTCTTCTTGTGGTCAAATTAGGTGTCAGCATCCCTGTAAATTCATAAAATGTCACTATCTCAGCTTTCACATTCTCCGAATGCGGGTGGGTTTGTGTTGATTTGCTTACTCTAATTTTTATGTATTTATTTATATATCTTTTACTAAAAGGTCTGTAAGCAATGGAAGTTTTATGTAAGTGTGCTACTACTAAAAACAACAGAAATGTTGATCTAAACACTATGAGAATAAAACTCATCAAAAATTAGTCATAGGTTTCTGTAGCTCACACCTGCAATCCCATCACTCAGGAGGCAGGAGGCAGGAGGCAGGAGGCAGGAGGCAGGAGAATCAGGAGATCAAAGCCTTCCTCAGCTGCATAGTGAGTTCAAGGCCAACAGGCTACATGAGGATACTAGAAGGGTGTGATCTTCTGATTCCACTACATGTAAGGTGAAAAAGGAGGGGATCAGGAATTCAAGGCCAGTCCCAGTTCCACAGAGTCTGAGGCCAACCTGGGATCGATCCATGAGACCTAGTCTCAAAAATGCTTAGGAATTGAACACATTCATTTACATACTGGGAAACAAACAGAAGAGAGATGGGACAGATGGATCTCAAGGGTGAGGCTTGACCAGGTTGCACAGCAAAGCTCTGCTTCAAAAAGAGAGAGACCAGGCATGGTAGCACACACCTTTAATCCTAACTCTCTGGAGGCAGAGGAAGACCCATCTCTGTGAGTTCAAGGCCAATCTGGTGTGCATAGTGTTCTAGTCCAGCCAAAACTACATAGTAGACCAGAGACAGAGACAGAGAGACAGAGACAGAGACAGAGAGACAGAGACAGAGACAGAGAGACAGAGACAGAGACAGAGAGACAGAGACAGAGACAGAGAGACAGAGACAGAGACAGAGAGACAGAGACAGAAACCAAAGAGGCAGAGACAGAGAGAGATTAGGAACATTAGCAAAAATGCCTGATTTTTTTCACCCCTGTCTCACTACACTGTCAAAAATGAGAGTTCCAGAGGGTTCTAGAAGGCATTTCCAGAGCATTACAATGTCGGCTGTGCCCAGGATCCAGCTGGCAGGAAGCAATCTCTCTGCATTCCTTGGAGTTCTAAGGACATTTCTGAGCATCCAGCAGGTGTGGTGTGGAGCCTGGGAGTCTACACTTCTCGAAAGTTCCCTTGTTTCTGGGACTGCATCCCTGCCATACTCAGAGTTGTGCTATATTAGGAATTAGCATCCCCAGGGCGGTGCAGAAAGGACCTACAATTTTATAACACAGACCAATATTTATGTCCTAAGGTTGGCAAACAGTCTGTACAAGACAACTTTGGCTTGAGTTTCCCTTCACCAAAATATTGACTGACATGGAGAGGGAAGTGGGACAGTAGTCCAAATTGCCTCAAAGGTGTAAGTGTCTAGGCTTCAGAAAAAATAGACTGGGAAATGCTCTTCTGCCACCTAGCAACTGTATGGAGAGCTATAAATTAAATCTCTGCATATTCCAGATGCCTGTCCCATCTGTTGAATGGGAGGTAATGATGGCAATCCTGCAGGAATGCTCCCCTGGCCAAGCAGGGCAGTCCCAGCCCAGGGGATGGTAGCTGATGAATCTGGCCAATGCTATACTGTCTTAGTCTTTTATGTTGCTGTGGTAAAATACTGTTCTTACATTTCCAGAGGGTTAGAGTCTATGATGTCAATGTTGAGGTGGCAGGCTGCAGGTGGCCAGAGCATCTCAGCACTCTCATCTGGAACCACAGACAGGAAGTAGAGGACACATTCTAAGTGGCAATAGTCTTTTGAAACCTCAATGCCCAACCCCCAGTGACATACTTCCTTCAGCAAGACCATACCTCCTAATCACCCCCAAACAGCCACCAACTGGTACCAAGTATTCAAATGCCTGAGATTCATTAAAACCACCACTTAGAGCTAACAGCATAATGTCCAGACCAGAGGGACTCTCCCATCCCAAAGAGTTAGCTGTACTTCCCTTTGGTTTTGGTTTTGGCTTTTGTGTTTTTGTTTTTTAAGTTTTAGTACCAGTTGGGAAGAAGGAAACAAAATGCGATTATAGAAATCCCCAAAAAGTTAGGAAAGATATATGGCAAAAAACATAGAATGAAGGAAAGACAAAATTCAGAATTATTCTATCAACTAAAAACACCCTTAAGCAGATGGTTTATCCAAAGGTGTTTGAAGTGTTTTCCCTCCATGGCTTTCAGGGATCTGGCAAACAATGAAATAAAGTACCTAACGAACTCCACCTTCCTTACGTGCGACTCGCTCACTGTGCTGTAAGTACATCACATTCCAGTACGAGAGGAGCCCTGTAGCTGGGGAAAGTCAAGGAAAACGCTGGCCATGGATTTCAAAGTACTGTTTTGTCTCCAGCCTTGATGTGAAGGTTCAATAGTGGAAGGGGTGGGGGGTATATTTATTTACCGTGAAATGAAATTCTTTATGTGAAAGTTACTAGACTCATCAAGCTAGATCTACACACACACACACACACACACACACACACACACACACACACACACACTCATACACACACACCTGTGCCCACCTCCAAGAAAGTGGGAGCAATCTAATGCAATACAATTGGCCAAAGAGTTTGACTGGAGATTCTGATTGCTGATTGTGCCTGTTGGGGGCTGGAAGGGAGAATGAATTGGCCAATTGGCACATTTGCGTTGGCTAAGAAACACAACTAGTTTGTGTGTGGGTTTTCTGGAAATAGTAAGCACTGCAGCAATGCTTGCTGATTAAACGGTGACTAGAGAAAAATAGGGGAGTAGAATTTAAAAAGAGACACTTACAAATCAGAAACCAAACAAAATGTGACTTCACAGACTACACTGGGTGTCTGGAACTGCGCCCAGCAATACTTCCTAAGGGACATGGGTACGACACCAGTCTTGCCTGGCTCATGGCTCCCATAGAGTCCTCAAAGGAAGCTTATCAAAAGACACTGGGAGCAGTGGTGTCTTCCAGCAGGACCTGATTGTGACCTCAGACTAAAATTCCCAGTGTTAACTCTCACCATGTTTTACAGGTTTCTGCCTAGAAATCAAATTGGCTTTGTTCCAGAGAAGACATTTTCTTCATTAAAAAATTTAGGAGAACTGTAAGTAGCAGGTCTACTGGGAAGAATACAGTTGACTGAGATGACGAGGGAGACTGTCGTTCCACTTGGAACAAGCAGACTTCTATAGACTATTAGATATTAAGAACCCATTAAGGAACCCCACATGATCCTGAACTCGAGAGTATGTTAAAAAATCATTTGCTGGGACTGACAGGGAGGCAGCCTGCCCTACTTTCTCTGCCTATTTTCCTTGGGTCAATTTCATGTCTATGTGTAAGCATTCCATGGCCTCTTAAACACGTGGATGGAATTTCTCTAAGGGCTGGTATTGTTAACTCTCAGTGAATGCCTGATGAAGCCAGACATGATTGCTGTGTTGCTAGTTGATTATATATGGCCAGAAGGATGACTGCTCTCAATGTCCCCAAGAGGTCATGACTTCTGTAGCTGGTGAGGCAAGGAGACATGTCTACAACGAGGATAAGCTCATGGAAAATTTGCAGACACATAATTCTGTCTGTCCAAACATATGTTTTATAGCCATGAATTCATGTTTAGCCATGAATTCATTGATGCTCACGTAACGGAGTTATTGGAAGTTAAAATTAAATCTGTGATATAGCACATGTTGGCAAGTAGGATAAAGAACTCATACTGCTTATGGGGACATTAAAAGGGCTATTGATGACTTAAGCAGCCCTTCCTCCATTTATTATACTTGGCTCTGGAGGACTGGGAATAATAACTCAATAAAGGTATTTTTTAAATAATTTTAATAATTCCATTAAATTAATGAGTATCATAAATAAAATCCAGAAGTGTTTAAAGTGACTTGTATAGACAATGCTCCATTCTTAAACTAAAAATTTTATGACAAACTGCTGCAGATGGTTCATTCAGAAGTGACTCTCCTGGTAGCTCACTCCTGGTCAGGTCTGGTGAAGGAATTGTGGATGTTGGTTACAGAAACCGGAGGCAGATGCCTGGGATGGTGAGGGCCTTGCTGTGTGTGTGTGTGTGTGTGTGTGTGTGTGTGTGTGTGTGTTGCGTGGGTGTACACCCTGTCTCTGTCCTTCCTGGGCACTCTCTTGGTCTCAGCAAACACTGTGCCACCATGGGAAGCATGGTTTACTTGGCTGCAGTCCACCATGTGGAGTGTTACATAGCAGTTTGCTGCAAATGTGGTCATTCTAGCTTGAATTCTCCATCTTAATGATAATTGCAACCTTCCCAACAGCAAGCTCTGAAGTTGGCTTCCTAGCCCTCTGCTCTGCCCTGATGCTAACTTTTCTCAGACCCTGAGCCCTGCTACAGTTTCTGAGGGCTCAGCCTCACCTGGTCTGTGTGGACACCTCCTTCCTCACCTCCCTCTCCTAACCCTCTGCTTCTGGATAACTGTCATCCTGTCCCTTTTTACCTGCTGTGTTCTCCAGTGTCCACATCACAGAGGAAACTGGTTCAACACAGGTTACCAGCCTCTTGGGGTGGGTCCCCAGAATGCGACATTTCTAGAAGCATCCTCAGTGATTCCAATGCTTGTACTGCACTAAATAAGACCTTGAAGCGTGTGTGTGACCCTCACATCCTGTATCCATGGGCCCTTCCCAGAGCACTTCCTCTATATCTCCTGATCTTTTTTTTCTTCCATCCATGCTGAGTTATTTGTGGCTTCCTGAAGATGATACCCAACCCCAAGCATGGGTTTTCTAGTCATGCTTTACTCTCACGTCAAAAGTTGTTCTTCCTTTACTAAATCTAAAAATCCAATCCTTAGGCTTTGTCAGGCACTTCCTAATTCCTATAACCAAGACTGATGGCTCCACCCCTTGTCATCTATCTTTTCTTACTTTGCTTCTTCCTTGTCTTATGATATAGCAGTATTTGTCCATCTTCTGTTGAAAACATCACGATGAGGATGTGCACAGGGGGTCACATGGTGAGACTGAATGTGAAAGAGATAGTCAGGAATGAGACTTCTTTTTAACTTGTTCAGGAGCTACCTGGGAACTCACAAATCACCTCAGTATTTTCTGAGGTGTGCACAGGGAGGCCTAACCACTCCTCAACATGAAAGACCACACCTCCCCTTCATGAACCACTGTGGAGTGGATCACATCCAAACCATAACCCTGGCTCTTACTACAAGTCAACTTTCCTTAGGGGAAAACCTCTATACTTATTTTTAGCTCCCCCATTTCTATCAAAATTTCAATAATAGTTAAGATCTTATACTTTGGGGCTGTAGAGATGGCTCAGCAATTAAGAGCACTGGCTGCTCTTCCAGAGGACCCGTGTTGGGTTCCCAGCACCCACATGGCAGCCCATGACTATCTGAAATTCCAGTCCTGGGGGGGGCATCTGATGCTCTCTCCTGTTGGCCATTAGTACTGCACCTACATGGTATGCACACATACAGGCAAAACACATTTTTAAAAGATATTTTACTTTATACTTAATTAGGCAATTGTACATAGGTTTCATCTTTAACATCATCTTTACTTAGATGTTTTAGACCCTCCCCAGATCTGTGTCTGCAACTGCAACAGAGCTCTTTGCCGTGTTCTCTAGAGTCACTACCCTATGGCTCTCTCTAGATTGGACAGTGGTATCATATTCCATTAGAAATACTCAATTTTGTGTGCAAGACAGAACTATATAAGTATGTAGTTAAACCTCTGGGGAATGGAGCCCTGAGGCAGAGCACTTGACCAGCCTGCACAAGGTCCTAGGTTCAATCCCCCATCACAAGGAGGGAAAGATGTATTTAAGATACATAAATGTATCCACTCACAATTGTCTGAGCAGATAGTAAGTGGCTAACACTCATTTAGATGGAATGCAAAATAGATAGGAGATGTTAGTCTTGACCTCAAAAAGATTAGCTGGGCAAGCATCTGTGGGATATGTGGGAATCACAGACGTGTGGGTGATAGATGTGAACCGACTGTGCTTCAGACAGGAAGCTAATCAGGCATCTCAGAGCCAGAATATATTGGCAAAGGGGCGAGCGGAAATTCCAGACAGGAACTGGATGAGCATGATGCCACAAGGTCTGCCAATGGTGGAAAAACAAAACTTGGCTGACTAACGGGTTATTGTTATGTCACAAGTCCACAGCCTGGTTGAACTGGATTCATATTCTCTCTTGTATCAAGTGGGAAGATGTTAACTGTGGAGAGAAATGCCCATGCCATTTATCCCCAATGTAACTGTTTTTGTTTTCACTGTCGTCAACAGGGACCTGTCTAGCAATATGATAACCAAACTACCAGCCCGCATTTTCAGCGACCTGCATCTTCTCCAAAAACTGTAAGTTCCCTGCCTCATCATCAGATTTAACGTGCAGCATCTTAGCCTTCCAAAATAATAACAGCCATGCTTATCCTCCCTCCCCTTCCTCTAATGGTAAAAAAAGGAACCTGTCGTCCAACCCTCTTCTGTATGTCCACAAGAACCAGTTTGGAAGTCTCAAACAACTTCAGTCTCTGTAAGTAAAGCTCTCCAATTATGCCTGTTATCAATGTAGGGAGGCTGACAGCCTCATGATGTATTTGATTCTAAGTTCGTGTTTCTCATGCTGGAACAGGAGTTCCCACCAGCTGTCCCTAGGAAATCCTGACCATTGCTGTCCTCTGTCAGTTATGAGCTAACTCACAGCAAAGTTGCTGCTATAGCCACTCAATTGTACCACTTCTATCTGTGTTTGAATCGGAATATGCATCCTGAGATCTGGACTTTTAGGAAAATTCAATCTCATGGTCTTCACAAAGAATTAAGTATGTAATAATTTTGTTTTGGAAAAAATTGGCAAAAATAAATTCTCTAAGACTTCCTTCTTTTCCTCTGTTCCCTCTCCCTGGAGAAATTATAGAATAAAAACGTTCTTTATGCCAGGCAGTGGTGGTGCACACCTTTAATGCCAGCACTTGGGAGGCAGAGGCACTTGGATCTTTGTGAGTTCGAAGCTAGTCTGGTCTACAGAACAAGTTCCAGGACATGCTCCAAAGCTACAGAGAAACCCTGTCTAGAAAAACAAAAACAAAATTGGTCTTTACTTTTTCATAAATGAAAAGAATCCCACAGAGATGAACATTCAAACAATGGGTGTTGTTTGGGATTTTACAACTTCAGTCAACGCAGGTTCTGTGGTGCCAAGACTTCTGCCAATTATTCTTTAAAGTTTGTGATTCCTCTCCCCTGGGTGACCATCTGTTGGCTAAAGTTGATTTATTATGACCAGAAACCACATTATATCCTCTGTTTCAGCCTGAAACATTTTTTCTTTGACTCCGAGGACCGGTGCCTTTGTTTTGTTTTGCTTGTTTGAGATGTAGTGGCTTTGCTTAATTTTCTAAGACAGGGTCTCCCATAGCCCAGGCTGGCCTCAAGCTTACTGTGCTACTGAGGATGACCTTGAACTCCTAATCCTACTGCCTCCAACCTCCCCCACCCCACATGCTAAGATTACTGGTTTGTTCCAACACACCAGGCTCCTTCCAAAGACTAATCATCAACATCACATGTCTTTTTGTTAAATAGATTTCTATTAAGAATTAACAAAACATTTAATTTTTTAAAGAGATTTTATTTATTTATTATGTATACAACATTCTGCTTCCATGTATATCTGCACACCAGAAGAGGTCACAGATCTCATAACGGATGGTTGTGAGCCACCATGTGGTTGCTGGGAATTGACCTCGGGACCTCTGGAAGAGCAGCTGGTGCTCTTAATCTCTGAGCCATCTCTCCAGCCCCCCAAAATATTTAATTTTTTAAGCCAATATTAATGAGCATCAGCTGATGGGCAGCATGACCTTCGCCCTTAGGAAGCTAGAGTATAAATAACCAAAGTCTATAAATATATTATTGTGATTTTTCTAAAGATTTATTATTTATTTATGGTGAGGGTAGCTATGTGAACATGTATGCCAGTGGCTGTGGAGGCCAGGGGAGGGCTTCAGATTTCAAGATCTGGAATTAGAGATGGCTGTGAGCCACCATGCAGAGGCTGGAAAGTGAACCCGAGTCCTCTCTTCCTCACTGAGCCAGCTCTCCAGCCCTAACCTGTTATTTTTAAACTTAACAGCAGGCTTCAGGCTATGGACATGATTTGTCTCTCAGTGGACAATGCGATCATATTTCATTGCAAATATTTAATTTCTTGTGAAGAGCAGTCCTATGTAGGAAGATATTTAAAGTTCTGGGGAATGTAGCTCAGTGGCAGAGAACTTGACCAGCATAAGGTTCTAGATTCACTAAAAGGGAGACTATCCAGCCACTGTATGATCCCTTTCCAAAAGTAGTAGCAGTTAGGTTTTGTGCTCTCGTTTATTAATTGTCTAATTTCTGTTTCCAAGACTCATTGGTACATACACGTCACCCTGGACACCAACTCATAGATTGCACTGTCTTACACACATTGTAGTAGTCACACAGTCCACATAAAATGTCAGTGGTGATAGTAAAGGAGAAAGCTGAGAATAGATGAAAGAAGCAGAAGCAAGGGGATTTTAGAAGGAACTTGGGTGTTTTTCCCAGAGGGGTTACACAATGATGCTGTAGTATCAATATCTCTTCAAGTTTTAATTCTGATCTAGAGAGCAAGGGGACTCTTCTGTGAAGGAGCCACTGGGCCAAGGAAAACTCAAAACTGTGCTGCAAAATCTTCACTCGGCTCAGCTGAAAGCAACAGGATAAACACCTAGCTTTTAAGGGCAGCTTCCAATCACACGCTGCAAGCAGAAGGTTCTCACGGTTTTACAGTGCCATTCCGGGCTTGATCCCAGAGAGGTCTGTGGATCTTCCTTCTCAGTGTCCTGAAGGACTCCAAGATCCATACCTTTAGAAGCTCCTGGAGAATTTCAGAATGCCCCAATGTCTGCTGGAGCCCCTTGAAGATGTGTTATAGAGCTTGGGGGGGATAACATGCATGACGCTTCCTCCAGGGTCTGAGAAAATGATGTCCTGAACAGTTGACTGCTCTTTCCACTGCCTCTGTGGTCCCACTCTAAAGACACATAGACCAGGGGGGAAATGAATATCAAATGACCATTTCCAGTGGACTTCCTTGAATGCTGTTTTACAGTTAGAAGAACTAGTTATGGAGCGAGACCCTGGAACTTCCAAAGTATAAAAATAATGTTATACTCACACCAGACACCACTGTCATTTGACCTATAGATTGTTTGTTTGTTTGTTTGTTTTTTCTAGGGATGGGTGCCAGAACCTTGTGTTTGTCGGGCAAGCATGTGACCACTGAGCCACACTCTCCGGGCCCTTTGCCATTTCAATGCATTTTGCATTTAAGTGGCACAGAAGCTCCAACGTACAGAAGATTTTAATGTTAATGATAATTCTCTCAGAATGTTTACTATGAAATTTTTATCCATATTTGAGTCAGTAACATAACATTTCAAAGGATCAAATTTAAGATGTGACAACAAAATGAAATGGTTTCAAAGTTTAACCATTAAACCTATTGTATATATTTTCCAGAGACCTGGAAAGGATAGAGATTCCAAACATAAACACAGGCATGTTCCAGCCCATGAAGAACCTTTCTCACATGTATGTATGTCTGAAGGAATGGAGGGAAAATAAGGCATGATGAATTAATTCAAATCTTCTCATGCCCAACTGTCTAATTATCACTGAACTGTGATTGTATGCAACAAACGTCTTCTTTTCTATTGAGAACTTTTTAATTTTGTCACCTTTGGTCCCTGTTCAAATAGAGTTCAATATAATGATGTGCCGACATGAATGACCCTTCTCTCTGGAAACACGATGTTTATCCAATTGAGGCCCAATAAGAGATCAGGGTACCAGAATGCCACACATTACATCAAATGAAGTCACTGGCTAAAGGGTACTCAGGAGACCTGGAAACATTAATTCACTTCACATGAGTGAGCAGTCGGCTGCTCTAAGATTTGGCCTATGTAGATTCCAGGTGTTGTTTCTCTTATTAAGTGCACTGCAAAATGGAGGTAATTAATCTTTATCGTAGTTTTGTTAAGTCACTTGAATATATATGACTAAAGTGCACTGTGTAAGTTGTGTTCATATATGTGTTTTTTAACGTGATCATTTCTTTATCAACTGTATATAATCTATATGTTCCTAATTTCAAAATTAACTATTGTCATCCACAAAAATAGGGAGAAATGGATGTAAGATCCCAAGTTGGGTGCAGCCAGTCGATGAGAGAGTTGATGTGAATTCAGGTGCTCTTGGGGGGAGAACACTTGGGTTGTCTGTGCCGGTGTGGTACCTAAAAGTCCATTACCTAGCCCAGTGCTTTTGCTCATTCCCCATCCTGAGGTACCATTAGTTAAATAATTAATGAGGCTGTCCTTTACTTGCTGCAGGTGGAAGGTGAGTTTTTCATAGACTAGAGAAATCCAGCCTTTTCAGAATTTCTAAATGTTAAAGTCAAGGTCACAGAGAGACCAACAACAAACAGAAAAAGAACTAGCTTAGCTACATCTCTGAGCTAGCTTAGCTTCATCTCTAAGCTAGCTTAGCTTCATCTCTGAGCTAGCCTAGCTACATCTCTGAGCTAGCTTAGCTTCATCTCTGAGCTAGCTGAGCTTCATCTCTGAGCTAGCTGAGCTTCATCTCTGAGCTAGCCTAGCTACATCTCTGAGCTAGCTGAGCTACATCCCTACCATCCCTACCAAAGGCCTGCTTTCCTTTCCTTCCTTGGCCTTTGATTGTTGAAACATCTCTACCTCCTCACCTCATCCCCCCCTCCCGCCCCTGGTTACAGTAGGAGAACCAACAGGGCTCTCTCTCTGAAGATGATGAGCATAAAGAATCAAGGTGTCAAGTTGGTGCTGGGAGTCCAGGGTAGGAAAAGAAACCAATCAAATCAGATGTCAAATTCCTTTCATTGGACACCAACTGCTAGGAAGCTGGACTATATATGGCACCTGGGATAGAGCTTGCCTTCCATGTCTCCAACACACCCAGTACTCAACAGTCCATGGTCCTTTTGCTGATCTAAGAAGTGGTTGTTGGGTCCTTGGCATCCGATAGGCATATAGTGATGCTGAGGACATAATGATGAGAAGGAGAAAGAATATACCAGAAAATTTTCATTTAGCTTTGAAATCACAGTAATTGAGCCAATAAGTGAATGTCTATTAAATTCCCTGAAGATTCATGAAACAAAGAGATAGATGAGGGATCTGGATGGTCAGTCATGCGGCACTTGAGACAATCTGAATACATCCAAAGGAAAAGAAGAATCAAGGATCTTGGAAGGGGATGGGCCTGGCTTGTGTGGGGTTAGAAGGCCACTGTATTTGGGTGGAAGGAGGCCAGGCAGCTAAGGACCATCCAGGCAAACAATCTGAAGAAGGCTCCACATAGTGCCATGGAATCATCTAGTGTTGCTGGCGTGGAAACTGAATTAGGAGATGGTAAAAGTATATTCAGCTGTGGGGAAAAAGGGCTGGAGTAACGAACTGTAAGACACAGTAAAAAAAAGTACAAATAGATGAATGAGAACTACAGGAGAAAAATCTAAATATTTTTAGATTTTTGGAGTAAGCTGGCTCATTCCAACCTATGTCCCGCTTACAAATGCATTGACCACAAACAAACCTTCCTTCCCTCTAGAATTTAAGTCCCTTGAAGAAACTCTGATAAGAGCCCTGTGTTTAAGGTGACTGCCTCTCCAAGCTTCAGAAAGACTTGATTTTCCTAGTCTCAGACTCTCCCCTCTTGCCAGTGCAAGGAGAAGGCTAAATACTCAGTGTTCGTTGAGAATATTTTTGTGAGTCGTAGGTTCCTTACAGTGAAAACCTGGGATGTTGATTAGAGATTTATTTCCTGACAGTGGTCTACATTGTAGAATACCCAATGAGAAAAGAATACCACATCCAATATGGCCGGGGACAGTAGTAGAGCCCTGTGACTTCAGATATCTACAGTCCTCCCACCTTTGAGTCTCTGCAGACACGGCCACACACTTCTGAAGTCTATGTCCCTATGGTGCTAATCATTTGAACAGCACCACCTAGACTAACAGATTACATAAGAATAACGACACTTCTCAATAATAAACTAGCAAAGCACCAACCCCTACTTCCCGCCTGTAGGCCCATTAGGAACTCCTCAATCACTGCTGCCAATGACTGTCGTCTTTTTCTCCTTTTGACTTCAGTTATCTGAAATCCTTTCGGTACTGCTCCTATGTTCCCCATGTCCGAATCTGTATGCCCTCGACTGATGGTATTTCTTCATCTGAGGACCTCTTGGCTAACAGTATCCTCAGAGTGTCTGTCTGGGTTATAGCTTTCATTACCAGCGTTGGGAATTTCCTTGTCATTGCTGTGAGATCTCTTATTAAGGCTGAGAATACTACTCACACTGAGTCCATCAAAATCCTTTGTTGTAAGTATGTTTGGGGGCAAATATTTTGTAGCTATGAATGGACTCAGGCTCTTAGCATGAAACACAGCCCTGGGGATCTCATCTTACAAATGAAATCACAGGTCAATGAGTGGGGGATGGAAAATGGAACAAGTTTTGAGATTCGTAAACTAACCTTTTAAAGTTTTATTATTATTAATTTAATTATTATTAACTTTACAAGAGACCATGTGCTTAGCAAGCTCAGATTCTCACCCACCCCCACCTCCACTGCCAGGGAAAGGAGGACTAGATATTCATGTTAGTCAAGAATATTTTGCTAACTATACAAGTAGTATGCTTTTCATTTAAGTACTAGCCCTAGGAAAATGTTACCTCTCCTGTGCTTTTAACTAGAAAACAAATCGGGCCCGTTGGCTGGTTGGTAGTCTAGTAGGTGGTTACATCGGTTCGTTTAATACAGGAAGAAGAATCTAGGAAAAATAAAAGGACTGATGCTGAACACAACTGCCATGGCTGCTTGGGTTCCCGCAGGTGCCGACTGCCTGATGGGGGTGTACCTGTTCTTCGTGGGCATTTTTGACATCAAGTACCGAGGACAGTATCAGAAGTACGCGCTGCTGTGGATGGAGAGTGTGCCCTGCCGCCTCCTGGGCTTCCTGGCCACGCTGTCCACGGAGGTCTCCGTGCTGCTGCTGACATTCCTGACCCTGGAGAAGTTCCTGGTCATCGTATTCCCTTTCAGCAATCTGCACCTGGGCAAGCGCCAGACTGCCGTGGTGCTCGCCGGCATCTGGGGGGTAGGGTTCCTCATAGCAGCCGTTCCCTTCACCAGTGAGGATTATTTTGGCAACTTTTATGGGAAAAATGGAGTCTGCTTCCCTCTTCATTACGACCAAGCGGAAGATTTTGGAAGTAGAGGGTACTCCCTTGGGATCTTCCTAGGTAAATTTTATTTTTCATTTCCCAGAGAGACACCAACATCTTTCTAGAAATGACACAGGCCATCAGATATGAATCTGTCCATTCAGAAAGCAAAGTTCTTGACATGCATTTCGTAGGTACTTTTTATTAAATATTTTAATGCCAAGATTTAGGGTGGAAAACAAAGACAGACTCTCAGGATCTTTTTTTTTAAGTCACCCTTATTTATTTATTTATTTATTTATTTATTTATTTATTTATTTTGCTTTTTGTTCATAGTGAGTGTGGCCTGGAAAAATTCTACATTCTCAGTCCTGAAACCCTACCAAATTACTCAAACTCCTTTGAAATTTTTAAACAATTTAGTTACTACTTAAATAAATATTAATAAAATTCTAGAATTTTAATATTATTTTTTTGGTTTTTCAAGACAGGGTTTCTCTGTGTAGCTTTGGAGCCTATCCTGGCACTCACTCTGGAGACCAGGCTGGCCTCGAAGCCACAGAGATCTGCCTGCCTCTGCCTCCCTAGTGCTGGGATTAAAGGCGTGCACCATCAATGCCCGGATAATATTTTTAAATTAATATAAATGCACAAGCAGGCTGTCTAAATGCCTCCCAGATTTATTGCCTTTTGTAAACACAGCTCTTGAGGCCACTCAGCACAAATTCTTTTTAGCTTTCTTAATTCCCCGATTTTTTTTCCCTTAGAAACAATGATACTATATTGTCTGTTACAAATGAATGGCAGACTTAGACCTTGGCATTAATCTCTTTATTGTTATCGTGTAACACATTCCAACATTCTTAGTTGGAATGAAGATTGTTCCCACAGCCTTTTTTTTTTTTTTAACTAAAACATCATTTCCTTCCCTTCTTGCTCCCTCATTCTCCTCTCCTCATCAAGAAGCTCTTTGATGGTCTTTTAAAAATCATTTTCCTCTGCCTGTGTCTCCATCCACTGCTGTCACCTTAGTGTGAGACCTTGCCTCTGCACTGTGTTCTTCTGCCTCCTACCACCTATGATGTCACAGTGTCCCCTTCTCACATACATCTGCTTGCCAGCCCTTACAATAACTACCCTGGCTATGAAAACAACTGCTTCCCTCTCGTCTGAAACCGTCAATCCCCCAAACTACAAGGTCAAGTTCAAATGGGTCACTTAGAACTCATTCTGGGGCAATGCTGACCTCTGTTCCTATTTCTCCATCTATTCCTTCTCCTTTTCTGAAAAACAAAATTCTTTCTTTACTCCATTTTGGTAATTCTCCTCACATGTGTGTTCATAAGCATGTCCCTTCCAGGTTACTGTAGACTCTTTGTGCTTCCTCCAGGTTCTCTTCTTACAGCTCCTAGCACAGGTGAACCTCAAAGAGACCTTTATGTATGCGTCTGTGTAAACACATGCACATACCCACTACAGTCCACTCATGCCACATGCTCATGCTCACTACAGTCTATTCACACCACATGCTCATGCTCACTACAGTCTTCTCACACCACATGCTCATGCTCACTACAGTCTATTCACACCACATGCTCATACCCACTACAGTCTATTCACACCACATATTCATGCTCACTACAGTCCTCTCACGCCACATGCTCATGCTCACCAGTCTATTCACACCACATGCTCATGCTCACTACAGTCTATTCACACCACATGCTCATGCTCACTACAGTCTATTCACACCATATGCTCATGCCCACTACAGTCCACTCACACCACATGCTCATACCCACTACAGTCTATTCACACCACATGCTCATGCTCACTGCAGTCTACTCACACCACATGCTCATGCTAATTACAGTCCTCTCACACCACATGCTCATGCTCACTACAGTCTACTCACACCACATGTTCATACCCACTACAGTCTATTCACACCACATGCTCATGCTCACTACAGTCTACTCACACCACATGTTCATACCCACTACAGTCTATTCACACCACATACTCATGCTCACCATAGCCTGCTCACACCACATGTTCATGCTCATTACAGTCCTCTCACACCACATGCTCATGCTCACTACAGTCTATTCACACCACATGCTCATGCTCACTACAGTCTATTCACACCACATGCTCATGCTCACTACAGTCTATTCACACCACATGCTCATGCTCACTACAGTCTATTCACACCACATGCTCATGCTCACTACAGTCTATTCACACCACATGCTCATGCTCACTACAGTCTATTCACACCACATGCTCATGCTCACTACAGTCTATTCACACCACATGCTCATGCTCACTACAGTCTATTCACACCACATGCTCATGCTCACTACAGTCCTCTCACACAACATGCTCATGCTCACTACAGTCCACTCACACCACATACTCATACCCACTACAGTCTATTCACACCACATGCTCATGCTCACTACAGTCCTCTCACACCACATACTCATGCTCACTACAGTCTGCTCACACCACATACTCATGCTCACTACAGTCTGCTCACACCACATGCTCATGCTCATGCTCACTACAGTCCACTCACTGGGTCAGTGATTTATTGTGCATCTTCTATGAGAAACACTGGACCCAGCTCTCACAGATATTAGAGACTAGAAAGTGGGATACAGACGCTCAGATGAGTTCTCATAGCACCATGGGTGAAGAAAGAGTACAGGATATCTCAGGAGAGAGAGACAGAGAAAGAGAGAGAGAGAGAGAGAGAGAGACAGAGAGAGACAGAGAGAGACAGAGAGAGACAGAGAGGCCCCATATCTGAGGACCAGGGAAAGCTTTGAAGGAGAAATGAAGTCCCAGGGATGTGGAGGCACAGCCAAGTGAAGACAGAGGATGGTGGGAGTAGAAGCTATGTTCCAGGAAAGGACCGTGGGTGCAGAGACCCAAAGCCAAGGGCCAGGCCCAATTGAAGTGCTAAAGAAGTTGAGTGTGGCTGTATTTTACAGCTAAGGCTGAGACTCTACTAAAATGGGCTAAGCACCTGTCACAGAACCATTTTACTTTATGCCAAGCTAAACTTTATGACGAGAGGCCTCAGGCAAACCAGGTTATAAAATTCTATTGTACCACAATGTAGTGAGAGTCCATGGACTAGGAAATGTTGTGGATAAAAATAACCTTGAATTTAAACCATGCTCCCTGCCATTACCAGTCTTCCACACAGTCTAAATTCAGATTAAGAATTTTTTTAGCAGTTCTGGAAACATATGCAAATTTTATGCTTATTAGAAAGAATTTGATAATCACTGTTTTGGATTTTCTTTTTATTGCATCAAGAATAAAGCAAGCTAAAGGAACAAGAAATTGATGTTATGGGAGATATCTGTGAAACTATTTGGCCCCGAAATAATGATTCATTTAATTGTAATTTTAACATCTTTATTTCTTTTCTAAGTTGAGTTTAAAGGGATCTGAACCACAATAGTTCAAATTACTGTAAGCAATCTAAGCAAAAGTAAACAAAAATGCATTTTTGCTTTATGTATTACATTTATTGAAAGGCCAAAACATAAAGAATAATGCTTCTGAGGCAATTATATTTATAACAAATTCTAAGATTCTTTTATTCGTATGTATAAGATAAGGAACTAAGATGGTTATCTACTTTTTGAGACATGCACTATAATTACAGCAATACCTTAAAGGCTGATGTTCCGGGAACTAAAAACAAAACTTTCTCTCTCTCCCTCTCCCTCTCCCTCTCTCTCTCTCTCTCTCTCTCTCTCTCTCTCTCTCTCTCTGTGTAAGAGAAAGCGTGTGTGAATGAGAGAAAGAGAGAGAAACAAGTGTGGTTTTGTGCTCTAGAAGAGCAGTCTTGCCAATTACAGTGGTGCATTCCTTTATAGCATTCAGGAAGCAAAGACAAGCAGATGTCTGTGAGTTCAAGGCCACCTAGGATTGCATAGTGTGACCTTGTCTCAGGAGAGAGAGACAGAGAAAGAGAGAGAGAGAGAGAGAGAGAGAGAGAGAGAGAGAGAGACAGAGACAGAGACAGAGACAGAGAGACAGAGAGACAGAGAGACAGAGAGAGAGAGAGAGTTGTCATGATATTCCAGATATGAATTTCCAGGCCTAACTCTTCATAAAGAATTTATGCCTTTGAAATCCTTTTTTAGGGCTAATCAAAACCCAATTCTTGATTTTATTTCCTCAATTTGGGGAGTTCAGCTCCACACCTCTGAGCACACAGGAGAAGGTGTTTCTGGGAAACCCCCGTGCCAGGCACTGTGGTAACAGCCACATAGCTGATGCTGACTTCCTGCTTGAGATATAAAACTAGTGTGCTCTTCCTGACAGGTGTGAACTTGCTGTGATCTTTCTGACAAGTGTGAACTTGCTGTGCTTTTCCCAACAGGTGTGAACTTGCTGGCTTTCCTTATTATCGTGTTCTCCTATGTGGCCATGTTCTGCTCCATTCAGAAAACAGCCCTTCAGACTGCAGAAGTGAGGAACCACATTGGGAAGGAGGTGGCTGTTGCAAACCGGTTCTTCTTTATTGTGTTCTCAGATGCCATCTGCTGGATCCCTGTGTTTGTTGTTAAAATCCTGTCTCTCTTTCAAGTGGAGGTGCCAGGTGAGTCCCTTTCCTCATTCCCAGCTACGTTGTGTCTTCTTAGACCCTTTGTTTGACAAGGCCAGAGTCTGGAAGAGTGCCTTCCATATGGTAAATTCTCTGTAAGTACCTATGGTGTCAATTCAAAGAATTATCACTCCCACCTCAGTGTTTTATAATTAATATTCTAAGGTGGGAAATGCAGTGTGGTGCAGTACAGTGGGAAAGAATAAAAAATTAAAGCAAGAGAAAAATATCAGTTTGAGTATCTTGCTTCTACCTGAGCTGGCTAGTGGTCCTTAGCCAAGATATGAAAGATAGATAGATAGATAGATAGATAGATAGATAGATAGATAGATGAAAGATGGATAGACAGAAGATATATAGATGATTGATAGAAGATAGATGATAGGTGGGTTGATTTATAGATAGATAGATAGATAGATAGATAGATAGATAGATAGATAGATACGTGTGTACATAAGTACATATATAGGCACATACTTAAATAGATAAATACATACATATGTACATAGGCACATATTTAGACAGATACATAGATAGACAGATGGATACATAGATTTCCTGGTTTCACTGGGACCTCTACATTAATTCCTGGGAACTAAAGGACACACAAAAGTATTCTGCGCAATTCCCCCATGATTCAGATGCTCCCACCCAGATAGAACCATCGGCCCTGTCCCATAGTCCTCACCATGAAACATCATATCAGGTTTTGAAGTGTTATGTGACTCATGCAAACACCCTAATGCAGCACACAATCCAATTCTTGGGGAATATTGCATTTCATTGGTTTAGATTTTCCCTGAAGTCCTTTCTAAGATTACAGCTGCTGGGAGCCACCCAGGGATTTATCCTCACTCTTAAACAGTACTGGGGATCATCTTCAGCTCACAGACTGGAAGCATGTCCACCTGAAGAACTGCTCAGAGTGGGAACTACATCTTAGTCATTATGACAGCCATGAGTCCAAAACATGGAAAGCCCCGAGGCACACGTGATTAACAGCTATGAAGAGCTCTTTTTCATAGGCCTGTGCAGTTATGTGAGGTCTGGTCAGATGCCCACTGTAAAATGTCACACAAGGGACAGTAGCCCTCTGGCTTATTCTTCACACCAAGCATGTGTGTCCATCAAGTCATGAAGGTGTGGAGTTGAGGAACAGGGAAGGTCAGGGATGAGCACTTGGGAGACTTCGCTGGTCTAGGCTAGCCAAGATATCTCTAGGATGTCTAGCCTCTGGTTCTTGCTTACCCAAGCAGTGTCAGGTATGGGTTCCCTCTTGTGGAATGGGCCTCAAATCAGACACTGGTTGGCTACTCCCATAAGTTCTGTGCCACCCTTGCTCTAGCTTATTTTGCAGGCAGGACAGATTGCAGGTCAAGGCTTTGTGGCTAGGTTTGTGTCCATATTTCTTTTTCCATAGCTTGCAGGGTACCTTTCCTTACCATAAAGACTAGAACATGGTGGGTGGGGGACTCCATGTAGGCACCGGCTTAACTTCTCCATGGTCAATAAGTTTGTGTGTGTTGTCCTTGGCAATGAGGCCTCACTGTTAGTTTATAGAGTGCAGCCTTTTGTCTTAGCAATGCCCTGAGTTGTTTGGGGATATCCATAGGACCCAGTTAGAAACAGCTCAATTGAATGCAATCCAGTACTGCCACTGGAAGCCTGCCCTGGCTACAAGAGGTGGCCAGTTAAGACTGTACCCCCATTACGTGGAGTCCTCATTAGGATCATCTTCATAGATCCCAAGTAGTTTCCATACCATCCCCCAAATGCCTACCAATTCCAGCCATCTCTTTCTCTGCATTCCCTCCCTCCACCTCAACTCATCCCCTCTGTAATCCCCCCATCCCCACCCACCCCTGTCTGCCCATAAAATCTATTCTATTCCCCCCCAGGGAGATCCTTGTGCCCCGATCCCTGCCTCCAAATCCCTCCTCTTTACCTAACCTTTCTGGGTCCGTGAATTACAGTTTGGTTATCATTTACTTAGTAGTTAATATCTGCATATAACTGAATACGTGCCATATTATCTTTCTGGGTCTGGTTTACGGCACTCAGTATGATTTTTTTCCAGTTGCATCTGATTTCCTGTAAATTTCATGATGTCGCTTTTTTTAAACTGCTGAGTAATATTCCATTGTGTAAATGTACTACATTTTCTTTATCCATTCTGTTAGGGACATCTAGGTGGTTTTTAATTTCTGGCTATTACAAATAAAGCCAAAATGAATATGGTTGAGCAAGTGTCCTTTGGGTAGGAAGCAGCATCTTTTGGGTATATGCCCAAGAGTGGTATAGCTGGATCTCGAAGAAGATTGATTCCCAACTTTCTGAGGAATCACTATATTGATTTCCATACTGGCTATTAAAGTTTGCACTGCCACTAGCAATGGAGGAGTGTTCCCCTTGTTCCACATCCTCAACAGCATGAGCTGTCTGTCGTGTTTTTAATCATAGCCATTCTGACCAGTGTAAGATGGAATCTCAAAGTCATTTTGATTTGCATTTCCCTGATGACTGAGGATGTTAAACACTTCTCTAAGTGTTTCTCAGACATTTGAGAGTCCTCTATTGAGAGTTCTCCTTTTTGATCTGTTCTCCATTTTTAACATTGGATTATTTGGTTTTTGATATCTAGTTTCTTGAGTTCTTTCTATATTTTGGATGTTAGTTCTCTATCGGATGTGGAGTTGGTGAAAAACTTTCCCATTCTTTAGGCAGATGATTTGTTTGAATGATGGTGTCTTTTGCCTTACAGATGCTTTTCAGTTTCATGAGGTCCTATTTACTAATTGTTGATTTTAGTGCCTTTGCTATTGATGCTCTGTTCAGAGAGTCATCGCCTGTGCCAATGTGTTGAAGGCTATTCACCACTTCCTCTTCTATCGGGTTCAGTGTATCTCATTTTATGTTGAGGCCTTTGATCCACTTGGACTTGAGTGTTGTGCAGGGTGATAAATATGGATCTATTTGCATTCTTCTACATGCAGACATCCAGTTTGACCAGCACTATTTGTTGAAGAGGCTGTCTTTTTTCTAATGTGTCTAGTTTCTAGCTTTTCATCAAAAATCAGATGTGCAGAGGTGTGTGGATTTGCATCTGGGTCTTCAATTTGATTCCATTAATCAATGTATCTGTTTTGTACCAATATCATGCAGTTTTTATTACTATGGGTCTATAGCACAACTTGAAATCAGGAATGGTGGGACACTCAGAAATTCTTTCACTGTTCAGGATTGTTTTAGCTATCCTGGGTTTTTGTTTTTCCATATGAAATTGAGAATTGTGTTGGAATTTTGATATGGATTGCATTGAATCTGTAGGTTACTTTTGGTAAGATGACAGTATTTATTACATTAATCTTACCAGTCCAAGGGCATGGGAGATCTTTCTGTCTTCTGTTATCTTCTTCAAACCTTGAAGTTTTTAATCACACAAGTCTTTCACTTGCTTGGCTACAGTTATCCTCAAAATATTTTACATTATTTTAGACTATTGTGAAAGGTGTTTCTATGATTTCTTTCTCAGTCCATTTGTCATTTTATATAGAAGAGCTACTGATTATTTTTTCAGCCACTTTTCTGAAAGTGTTTGTTAGCTCCATATCATATCATATCAGCTGCAAGTAAAGATAATTTGACTTCTTCCCCTTCCAATTTGTATCTCCTTGATCTCCTTCAGCTGTCCTATTGCTCTAGCAAGTTGCAAGTGCTATATTGAGTAGATATAGAGAGAGTGGACAGCCTTGTCTTGTTTCTGATCTTAGTGGGATTTCTTTGAGTTTCTCTCCACTTAATTTGATGTTTTCTATAGGCTTGTTGTAAATTGACTTTATTATGTTTAGGTATGTCCTTTGTATCTCTAATCTCTCCAGTACTTTTATCATGAAAGAGTATTAGATTTTGCCAAAGCCTTTTCTATATCTAATGAAATAATCATGTGGGCTTTTTCTTTTAGTTTGTTTATATGGTGGGTTACATTTATTAATTTTTGTGTATTGAACCATCCCTAAATCTCTGGGATGAAGCCTAGTTGATTATGGTGGATGATCTTTTTTGATGTGTTTTTGTATTCAGTTTTCAAGTATTTTATTGAATAATTTTGCATCTATGTTAATAAGGAAAATTGGTTTGTAATTCTCTTTCTTTGTTGAGTCTTTATATGATTTGGATATTAGGGTAACCATGGTCTCATAAGATGAATTGGGCAATTTTCCTCTGTCTTTATTTTGTGAAATAATTTGAGGAGTATTGGCATTAACCCTTCTTTGGTAGTCTAGTAAAATTCTGTGCTAAAACCATCTGGCCTTGGGTTGGGGGGGTTGTTTTTTATTTTTGTTAGGGTGTTTTGTTGCTGTTGTTTGTTTGTTTTGTTGGGAGAATTTTAATGGCTGCTTCTATTTTACTAGAAGCTATAGGTCTATTTAAATTGTTCAACTGATCTTGTTTTAACTTTGGTAAGTGGTACCTATCAAGAAAATTATCCATTTCTTTTAGATTTTCCAATTTGATGGAGTACAGGTTTTTAAAGTATGTCTTTATGATTCTCTGGACTTCCTTGGTGTCTGTTGTTTCTGATTTTGTTAATTTGGATGTTCTTTCTGCCTATTAGTTGGTTTGGATAAGGGTTTGTCTATCTTGTTGATTTTCTCAAAGAATCAACTCTTTGTTTCAGTGATTCCTTGTATTGTTTTCTTTATGTCTGTTTTGTTGGTTTGAGCCCTCGGTTTGATTATTTCTCACTGTCTACTCCTCTTGGTATGCTTACTTCTTTTTGTTGTAAAGCATTCAGGTGTGCTGTTAAGTCACTTGTGAGAGATTTCTTCAATATTTTTATGTAGGCACGTAGTGCTATGAACATTCTTAGCACCACTTTCATTGTGTCCTGTAAGTTGGGATGTGCTGTGCATTCATTTTCATTGAAGTCTAGAAAGCCTTTAATTTCTTTACTTCTGCCTTGATTCATTTTTCATTCAGTGAAGAGTTGTTCATTTTCCAAGAATTTGTAAGCTTTCTGTTGTTTCTGTAGTTGATGATATCTAAGTTTAGTCCATGGTGTCCTGATAGGATGCAGGGAGCTATTTCAATTTTCTCATATCTGTTGATACTTGCTTTGTGACCAAGAATATGATCAATTTTGGAGAAAGTTCCATGAGGTGCAGAAAAGAAGGTATATTCTCTTGTGTTTGGGTGATAAGTCCTGTATATGTCTCTTAAGTCCATTTGGTTTATAACATCTGCTATCTCCAGCATTTCTCTGCTTAGTTTTTGTCTGGATTACCTATCCATTGGAGAGAATGGGATATTGAAGTCTCCCACTGACAGTGTGTGAGTGTCAATATGTGTTTTAAGCTGTAGTAGTGTTTCTTTTACAAAAGTGGGTACCGTTATATTTGGGGCATAGATGTTAAGAATTGAAATGTCATGTTGGCGGATTTTTCCTTTGATGAGTATGTAGTACCCTTCCCTATCCCTTTTGATTCATTATGGTTTGAAGTCTATTTTAGTAGCCAGCTTATTTTTTTGGTCCATTTTCGTAGACTATCTTTTTCCAATCCTTTATTCTGAGGTGATGTTTATCCTTAATGTTGAGGTGTGTTTCTTGGATGCAGCAGAAGGATGGATCCTGTTTTTGCATCCATTCTGTTATTTTGTGTCTTTTTATTAGGAAATTAAGACTATTGATAACCAATGGCTGTTAATCATTGTTATTTTGTTGGTGGTGGCTGTGTGGGAGGTAGTGGTGGGTGTGTTTTTTCCTTCTTTTGATTTTCTCATGTAAGGTTATTTATTTCCTGTGTTTTCACAAGTATAGTTAACCTCCTTGGGTTGGGGTTTTCTTTTTAGCACTTTCTATAGGGCCAGATTTGTAGATAGATTAATTTGACTTTGTCATGTAATATCTTATTTTTTCCATCTATGATTATCAAAAGTTTTGTTGGGCATAGTAGTCTGGTCTGGCATCTCTGGTCTCTTAAGGTCTGCAGTACATATATACAGGTCTTTATGGCTTTCAGAGTCTCTATTGAGAAGTCAGGTGTAATTCTAATAGATCTGCCTTTATATACTACTTGATATTTTATTTGCAGCTCTTAATATTCTTACTTTGTTCTGTATATTTAGTGTTTTGATCATTATATAGCTAGGGAACTTTTTCTGTCTAATATATTTGGTGTTCTCTATGATTCTTGTATGTTTATAGACATCTCCTTTAGGTTACGAAAATTTTCTTCTATGATTTTGCTGAAAACATCTTCTGGGCCTTTGAGCTGGGTTTGTTTTCCTTCCTCTGTAATTATTATTCTTGGGTTTGGTCTTTACGTGGTGTCCCAGATTTCCTGGATGTTTTGTATCAGGAAATTTTTAGCTTTGACATTTTTTTGACTGGTGTATCAACTTCTATTATATCTTCAATGCCTGAGATCCTTGCTTCCATCTCTTGTATTCTGTTGGTGAAGCTTGCCTCTGCAGTTTCTGTTTGCAATCCTAAATTTTTCATTTCCAGAATTACCTCAGTTTGGGTTTTCTTTATTGGTTCTATTTCCAATTTCAGGTTTTGAACAGTTTTATTTATTTCCTTACAACTGTTGGTTTGTGTTTCCTGGATTTCTTTAAGGACCATTCCTCTTTAAGGACCTCTATCATATTCATAAAGGCTATTTTAAGATCTTTTTCTTGTGCTTCAGCTATGCTGGAATATTCAGGACCTGCTGTGATAGAGTTGCTGGGCTGTAGTGGGGACATATTGCCCTGGCTGTTGTTGTGGTTTTTTGCTGGTATCTTGGCTTCTGGGGTCTAGGTGCTAATTTCTGAATTTGTGTTTGTTGTTTGGGTGGTTTTTCCTTGGTTTCAGTTTCCTCTCTGGATTTTTGGGGAGTGTGATGGCTGTGTATTACCTGTTTTCCTGGCCTGCGCACCTGATGTGTTCACACGCTGGTGTTGGGGACTGGGAAACTGGGATGAGTTGGGGGAAAGAAGGTTGGAGAGGAAGGTCTTTGTGATCTGCTGGGGATGGGGTCAAACAGGAAAGGGAGACTACAGCAGGTTTCCTGCTAGAGAGATGGAGATGAGACTGGGGATGGGAGGACCTCAGGAGCAGGGGAAGTATGGGTCTACCTTCAGCCTACTTGTTGCCCTGGAAGGAGCTTCCTGTGGGTTAGCGGGTGATGCCTGCTGGAGTTGGGGTCTGGGATACAGCGACTAGTGGTGGGAGGAAGGTTAGAAGGGGAAGATTTGTGAGCTCCACAGGAAATGATATTTGCAGGGCAGGCAGGGAAGGCTGCTACAAACGTTCTGCTGCCAAGCAGGGGCAGGGGTTGGGTAGGGGGAAATTGGGGGGTTGAGTCTGGGTAGACAGAAAGAGAGGAAAAGGTCTGCAGGCAGCCTACCTGGTTTTCTGTCAGGCATGGCCTGTGGTTTAGCAGAGAGTGCCTGCTGGAGTTGGGGCCTGGGATACAGCGACTAGTGTAGAGGGGAGGGGAGGAGGGGATGGTCTGTGGAACCATCTGGAGATGGGGCTGTTGGAGCTGGGGCTCTGTTGCAGTGCTAGGGAAGGGGATTGAGTCTGGGGGAACAAAGAGGGAGGAAGCACTTTCTATTCCTTTTCATACTCCATTTCCTTCTCCAGGTACAATCACTTCCTGGATAGTGGTTTTTTTCCTTCCGGTAAACAGCGCCTTGAACCCCATTCTCTACACTCTCACCACCTCCTTTTTTAAGGACAAGTTGAAACAGTTGCTGCACAAGCATCGCAGGAAATCGATTTTCAAAGTCAAAAAGAAAAGCTTATCCACCTCCATTGTGTGGACCGATGACTCCTCACTTAAACTTGGAGTTTTGAACAGAATAGCCCTCGGGGACAATATAATGAAGCCAGTTTCCCCATAGTGGCTCTGGATCATGGGACTTTGAGGGAACTACCTAAAACAAGGTACAATTTGGGGAAGATGGCGTCTGAGACGGTTTCCATCTTGGCCAGCAGCCACCCTTTCAGCACCAGGGACACTGTGGAATGGCTGTTGACCCTGCATTCTGGTGACAGCTCTACAACCCATTGACCAAACAGAACTGCACCGAACACCTCCCCTCTTCACCTGCCCAGACCTGGCATGCACAAGTGAATCTATGTAGGCTGACATATGGTGGATCTCCAGGTAGCCAGCACTGCCTGCCTACCCATGAGTTTCCACAAGTAGGCACGGCCATGGCCTTCTTTTTCATCAAGTCATTCAGTCCATGAGTCAGGACATCCATGACATCTTCCAGTGTGGCCATTGTGACACAGAATGTACGTCTTTTTCCTTGCCCTTTCAGCGGCAAATGAGCCATCAACACCTGGCTGATGTGATGCCCCCAACAACTTTTGCAGGCTGCTGGAATAGTAACCTTGCACCTGGTTCTCCACACCAGTTTATCATGCCTTACACGACCAGACCAGCGGGAGGCATGCTGCAGGAGCTAGAGCCAGTCCCCTCTTGACTTCTACTAAGCTTCTATTTAAGCTCAGAAAAAAATGGAGATCTTAGATGCTTTTCCTAAAGTTACCCAGGGAGTAGAGGAAAATCAGGCACCCAAACAGTTATAAGTTTCAAGTGTTTTAGAACAGTATTTCTATTGCGGGTAAATTATCTCTTCACTTAACACAGAGACAAGGAAAGTTAAAAAGAGACAAAGAAGACTGACTGCTCTGATCTAGGGCCATTTGCTTAGTTGCGCAAACTCCCATCTCCACACAAAAGGGTCAAATTTGTGTTGTGAAAGTGAAAAATGTTTATGAAGACTGGGACATTTTTATACTGAAAGTTTATATAAGGGGGAAAGAATACTATGAGTAAATTTCTATTTTGCATTTGTCTGTATGCTGTTTGGAGCTTGACAAAGAATGTGGGTGGGTTTGGTGACGGCTGAGTGTGTTTCCTCAGGTAAGCAATGGCACACAGTGCTGTGTCTCACCTTACATTTCTCTTCTTCCCCTTGCCAAAGTGTGAAGCAGTAAATGAATTTCATCACCTCCTCTCCCTTCTTTCTGAGTCCCTTGGAAGAAACAAAATGCAGCCATCTATCTCAACACACCATCTGTGTTAAGGGCATCTTCCTTTGAAGAAAAGAGCACACCCACAAAAGTCAAGGGAAGCCTCAGACAGTAGTCTAGAAAGACTAAGTGCTTTTTATTTCATTCTTGGATCTCAATTCTTTTTACTACCAGGATTGTTTATGCCCACCACAATGTCAAAAATGCCTGCATTTTGGTCACAGGCTACCTGGTTAGTTTTTGTCAACCTGACAAAAGCCTAGCCTGGACCACAAACCAAACACACTTGGGAAGAAGGAATCACAGCTGAATTGCCTCCATCAGATTGGGCTGTGGGCATGTCAGTGTGGCATTTTCTTAATTGCTAATTGATATAGGAGGGCCTAGTCCACTGAGGACAGTGCCACCTTGAGCAGACAGGCCTGGGTTATATAAAAATATAGCTGAGCTAGCCAGGAGGTGGGGAAAGGGAGACAGAGAGGGGTGTGGAGGAGCAGCCAAGCAAGGCAGTGATCATTATCTCTCTGTGGTCTGCTTCAGTTCCTGCCTCCAGGTTCCTGCCTTGAGCTCCTGCCTTGGTGTCCCTCTATGATGAACTATAACCTGTAAGCCAAAGTAACCCTCTCCTCCCCAAGTTGCTTTCGGTGGTGATGTTTATCACAGCAACAGAAAGGAAACTATGACACAGGTTTTAAATGAAATTACCCAGATTTGAGCTTTATCTACAGGCAATGGCAGCAGTACACATTTCTCCTCCATCTTTAGGCCACTACTCAGATCCTTTCATGCAGGCCCTGTAGCATGGGAAAGCCACACAGCTTCTCAAGGGTCCTCTGGTGCCAGATTGAATCCATGTTTGCTGATTCTTTACCTCCTGTAGCACCCTCTATTTAGGGAGCGGTGTGCAGAACTGCAGGATGACCCACACTAGTGAGCAGTGTGCAGAGATTCAGGATGACCCACACTAGTGAGCAGTATGCAGAGATTCAGGATGGCACACACTAGTGAGCAGTGTGCAGAGCTGCAGGATGGCACACACTAGTGAACAGTGTGCAGACCTACAGGATGACAAAACAGACATGAGACCTGAAAGACTTTTAACAAATACACATAAACTAGAATCTCAGCTTCTAGCACCAACCAGGAACATGTGTGTGGTGTGGAGATACATTGTGTGAGAGGCTTTTTGCACAGCACTAATGGACACGAGCTGTCTTATTGCCAGGAGTGGACCTACAGTGGTGTGGATGAGAATGGCCTCCATTGGCTTACACGCTGGGTTACCAGTTGGTGGAACTGTTTGGGAAGAACAAGGAGGTGTGTCACTGGGGACAGGCTGTGAGAGTTCAAAGCCCTTGCCAGTCCCAGCTAGTGCTCTTTTCTCTTCCTCCTGCTTTGGATCAGATGTGAGCTCTCAGATACTGCTTCAGTATCATGTCTGCCGGCTGCTTCCCCACCGCCGCCGCCTGTCAGGATGATCATGGACACTAACACTGTAGAACTGTGAGCCTCCAGGTTACACACTTTCTTGTTTAGGCTGCCTTGGTCAAGGTGTTTTGTCATGGCAATAGAAGAGTAACCAAGATCTCAGCACTTTGGAGACCAAAGTGGGGGAACCACAAATTGAAGACTAGCCTGTGCTATTGGTTGGGGACTGGAGGAAAAGAGGGAGGGAGAGATAGAGAAGGAAAGAAGAGAGGAAATCAAAATATTGAAGGAGTTTCTGCTTTCTCTTTCCCTTGTGAGTAAGGAAATCATCACCAGTCCCTCTCTTTGTATTTTTATTTATGTTTGCATGTTTCTTACTAACATAGGTCTTTTGTCAGACATTCCATTGATACAAATAGCACATTTAATAATGCTAATATTTATTTCTAAGGCTATCCTTTTATTTTAATTTACTTATTTTAACCTTGAATCTGGTTTTATTTTATTTCTTATTGGAAATAGTTTTTTCATACAATATATTCTGATTGTAGTTCCTGTCTGCAGCTCCTCCCTGCTCCTCCTCACCTCCCCACCCACCCAAATCCACAGTTTTTCTTGCTCTCTCTCATTACCAAGCACTCATCTAAAGAAAGAAAGGAAGAAAAAACTAATAAAATAAGATGAAAACAAACAGATAAACAAAGAAATGAAGAAAATGCAGGAAACATATATAGATGCAGAGACACATACGCTGGCAGGCACAGAAATACCATAAAAACACAATATTGGGAATTACAACATATATAAGCAACAGACCTGTAGGGTAAAAAAAAATGCCCAGACAATAAACAAACAAAACCATCCAAAAATACCATTGAGTTCATTTTGTGTTGGCCATTTACTGCTGGGAATAGGGCCGGGTCTTAAGAGTGATTTGTATACCCAGTGATACTCTGTTGAAGACAACTAATTTTTCATTTGCAAATGGTTATCAAATGGAGATAACTTCTGGGTTAGGGATGGGGGCCTGTGTCCATTCCCTCCTGAAGCTCTGGGACCCCATCTGGCTTGACCTATGCAGGTCCTGTGCATGCTGCCACAGCCTCTGTGAGTTCGTATGTACATTGGTCCTGTTGTGTTTAGACGGCCTTGTTTCCTTGGTGTTCTCCATCCTCTCTGGCTCTTACATTCTTTCTGCCTCCTCTCATTGAATACAGAGAAGTCAAACTGGTACCTAGAGCCTTCATCCCTACTAACTAGTGTTCAGGGTCCTGGAAAGCACTCTGCACTCTACCTAAGAAGAAAGGTAAACACCGAGCCACCTACAGACCCTGTGATCTACAATCATGACTAGATATGCTAAGTGCTGTAGTGGCACAAGGATTGTGGGAGTAACCAACCAATGTCTGATTGACGTCTGGTTGTACTTAAGGCCCACTCCATGAGGTAGAACCCATCTCCAACATTGCTTGGATGGACAAGAACCTGAGACTAAACAGGCCAAGTACCAAACACTACTGTTCTGCTAAAGGAACATAACAATAAAATGACTCCTAACAACATTCTGCTATGCTCATAGATCAGTATCTTGCTCAACCATCATCACAGAAGCTTCCTCCTGCAGCATATGGGAATAAACGCAGAGACCCACAGATGGACAATGTGCAGAGAATGAGAAAACTTGGAATACTCAGTCACAAATGGGACGTCTCCATCAGTTTCCTTTCCTCGTGGCTCAGGGAACCCTGTAGAGGAGGAGGCTGGCTTTTTGTTCCTTGTATAAACAATCCATACTGTTACAAGCATTGAGAAAACTCTCAAAAGCACAAAGACTACAGGAATCACCATCAATATTTCCAGTTTTTCAAAACATTCTTTAGGTTGGTAAATAATCTTTGTACTAAAACAACAAAGCCAAACCATATGCATTAAACCTGACAAAGGCACAGTCTCAAATCTGCCAAGGCTTTTCTACAAGCTTGTTACTTCCTGTCGGGAGGCTGGGGCTAGGAGACTAGGGTTGTGGGCACAGTAGCCTTAACCTTGATTTCTATGCTGTTTTCTCTTTAACTCATCCTCCGTCCCCAACCAACACATCTGGCTTGCATCCAGCTAGCCACCCCAGGCCTCTGTGTGGTTAAGTGGGAGAGGCCACTTTCTCCACATCTGGGTCTCAGTGTCCGTGACAGAGGCTAAAATGTCCACTGACCTGACTTTCATAGACAAAATGGGGCCATTCTTTTCAGTGATTTAGGGAGAAAGACACCCAAGTTCTAAAGAAATGCTTCCTAAATTTGATAAACTGCCTGAAACCTGGCTACTCACAACACATTGTGGAAGGGGCTCCAGGATTCTTCCCCCATAAAGCCCATACAGGAGGCATAGATTACAAGGGAAGAAACTGAGGACAACCAGGGCAAGCTATGGT